TCATCGATGGGAGAATCTTTTTTTATTCGTCATTATTCTGATTTCAAGTTAATCTTGTTAACTTTTATGTGCTATTTTTATTTTTGTTATTCAATCATCAAAGGAAATTGTTTTTCATTCAAATGACGACATGGACAAAAAACACACACACACATAGATGAATGGTTCCATTTGAAAGAATGAATCGTTTTATTATTTTCATTTGTTTGTTTGACGATTTTGTTATTGTCAAATTTAATAAATTCAAGCACATTCTATCTCTCCCTAAGATTATTGTATCCGGTTCCCTAGGTTTTTTTTTCTCGAAAACTTGAAATGATAATGTTTGTAATAATAAAATCTCGATTATATGTATACATTTTTCTGGTCGCCCAGACAATAATGTTCGGCTGTCAAGTTAATGATATTGAATGACACTTTATGAACGTGTTGCTGCTATACGGGATACACACGAACATATATACTTGACCCGAACATTATTTCTCTGAATCCATGGAATTATTACTTTTCTACCTTTTAAAAACAATATTGTCTTGGTGTTCATGAACTCATTATTTTTCATGGTCACGTACTAATCAGATGCTAAGTTAGATTTAGTGATTGTTTTTTTTGACATTAAACTTTGTTTTGACATTTTGTTACAACGAAAAATGACATTATATTAGTGCATGCATCGAAATCGAAATCGTTATATAGCACGAAGCGGGAAAATTATCGATAGTATTCGTCCATCACTTTACCGGCTCACATGCTTCTGAGTTTGTTTCTTTGTGTTGTGTTTTTGTTTCAAAATTATTTCAAACGATTCATTCTGATTTTCTTTGATTTGTTTTTTGTTTATAAGATAAAAAAAACTTTATTAAAAATGTCTGGACGTCAAAAAATCCAAAAAGTGATGGTTCAACCCATCAATCTGATTTTTCGATATCTACAGAATCGAGCACGAATTCAAGTTTGGCTTAACGAAAATATCAATCTTCGAATCGAAGGTCATATTATTGGTTTCGATGAATATATGAACCTGGTGCTTGATGATGCCTACGAAGTGAATCAAAAAAGTAATACGAGAAAAAAAATTGGTTGTATCCTGCTCAAAGGCGAAAATATAACGTTGATTATGAATACCGAACAGGCCAACTAGCATCACATTGGTATTGGATCCAAGATTATCATCAATATTTTCTCATGTTTATTTCGATTAACAATTTGATGACCTCATCCACATCAATAACCCATCTTCATATTATTGTCATTGTAATCGTATTTCATTTTACATACATCTTTCAAAATTCAAATAAATTTTTTTTTCTTTGTAACTTTTATTGATGAATGATTGCACTTATATTTGATCAAAAAAAATCCACATTTTTTTCTTTCTGTCAATTCCATCCAACACCATTATGATTATGATTGATTATGTGATATGATGATGATGATAGCAAAGAAAAATTGGTCACAGATGTATAATAAGTTCATGATGATGAGTTGTTCCAATTTTGATTCATTTAATTTCTTTGACATACAATATCTAGTGTCAATTTAAATTTAAAATTTTCCTCTTAAAAAAATTTAACTTTCAAACATTAAATATTCATCATGATGATAACTAGATGTTGACATTCTTTTTTTTTATTCGTCTTGGCAGTAATTTTTATGAAATTCTCAAAATAAATTAAACCCATATAGTCTATTAAACTGCCTGTTTGTTCGTTCGAAAATAATAATTATATAACAGCTATAACATTGCTATCCGATATAGAATGCGTAGACGATTCATTGACATGATGATTTCAATCAATTTTAATTTGGATCCATTTTGTCTTGTTTCAAGTTATCAACAATGAAAACACGTATCCCTATCATACATCAGTCAATATGTGAATTTCGAACGAACAAATTTTCTTGTTTGTTTCAATAATGATATGATAGTATAAATGTGTGTGTGTGTGTGTGTGCGTATTTGTGTTCTCGACATAATTTGATGGATGCTATAGTTCATATTGATGAAACATTTGGATTCGAATTGGAAACAATTGTTGGAACAAATAACAAATACACACGTGTGCCATAGCAATTTTTCTTTGAACCCAAAATTACTTTTGATTGGATCCAAATAGATTCAAGGATCCTTAATTTATTTCATTGCTGGTGGCAACCAGCTGGCGACCAGTAACTTACTACTATAACCAATGACATTTTGAGTAAAAATGATCGATCGTTGGCCATATAACAGAATGTTTCCGAAACAGATGAATGAACGTTCGTTCATTTGACTGGTGGTGGTGGATGGCTGGTTACTGCATTGGTTAATTGGAAATGAACGGGCAAGCAAAATTTGAACTCAATAACGAAAAAATAAAACGAACAGCATTTGTTTCAGGTAAATGTTTCAGGATGAGACAAAAAAAAATTCAAATGTAATTCATCTAATGAATACAAAATTGTATTCACTTGGTTCAAATTGATTAATTTTAATGATCAGATAAAAATAGGTTCCAAAAAAAAGTCGCGTGCACTGGTAACGGAGTAAAATAACAGTTAGATACGAATATTCTATTCAAAAATGAAGATGATGCTACCACCACCACTAATTATCTGGGACTGTTTTATCGGAGAGAATGTCTGGATTTCTATATTAATGACAGAAACTTGAGAAACTTTTTATGTCTATGTTCCATAGAGTCTTATCGAATGAAATATCGAAAAAAAAATTCGGGCCGTATGTAAGAATAAAAAACATTTGCACAACTGATAATTTAGTCTAAAAGAATAAAAAATGAAAACCATTATTCAAATTAGATTCTCTTGTGTTTGTGTACATAGCAATCATTGCTCTGAAAAATAAATGAAACGATGACTGTGATTTTTTTCCCACTCAAATTCAAACACCAAATTATCATAATCATCATGTCATTTGATCCATAATCCAAATATTTCAATACTGGTGATGATGATGATGATATTCAATCATCGATTGATGCATCAAAACGACGCATAGGATTATCGAAACTGTGTTTTCAAAAATAAATTTCAAAATTATTTATTAAAAAAAAAATTAAAACTTTTGTCATTATTTCAAAGAATTATCATATTTCCATAATAATATTATCATTTGAATAAAGTTTTTCTAAAATTATGGAATATGAATATCCGACAGTCGATAGTCGAAACTTTTTTATGATGTGGTAAAAAAAAATAAAAATAAATAATGAATGTGCCAACATCACATCAACACAATAGCCACACATACACAGAACACAGAATACAACAAACATCTCTTATCTCTGTGTGGTTGATTCCTGAATATATTTTCATTTAATTGAATTTTTCGTTTTTTGTTGTTGTTGTTGTTGTTGTCATCTTCTATTTCTTTTATACAAAAGCAACGAATCAGTCTAGATTAGGACACGTGTCTGCTGCATCCATTGTATTTTTTTTGCTGTTTGTGTGTGTGTTTGTGAATAGAGAATTTTCCGTTAGGTATATCGCTTTAGTGTGATATCATCAATAAAAAAAATTATTTTCATTCATTCATTAGCAATTGAAGAAGAATACACAAAATAGACAAGACCACAAATGAGCCAACGATTTTATTTTGCGATTCGATAAAAAAACGAAATTCCAGAAAAAAATTTTGGCTTTTGACAATATATGTGTAATGCATTTTTGATCAATCATCACTAAGCATTTTTTTTGTTCGTTACCTTGACATTGGCATCATCAAATCCCAAGTGATTTTTATTTCATTTTTAAAATTTGCTCTCCACCTTGGTTTGTATCCATCATAATCCATCAATGATTCAGTATTTTCTATTCAATTCATCGATATAAATAATGTAAATCAAATGATGATGATGATTATTATTATTATGATGAGGCTGTTTGATAATCGACGTATTCGATCTATCTACACAATGATGATATGATGAATTCTAAATTAACAGTGGACACGTGTCTAGATATGATGATGATGATGATGATGATGGCAAAAATGTCGATCATCGTCATCGTCATCGTCATAGTCATCATCATAGTTGGATGGAATAAATGGATCGATCCGAAAAAAATGAATTAGAGATCGGTATGGAAAAAAATATGTTCACTATCGTTCTCTTACTATGCAAAGAATATAATTAAAAAAAAATATACCAGGGAGATCAATGTGCCTGTCAAAACAAACATGGCCCCTATTCTATTCATGCTTTTCATTTTGATATGACATAATATCCAACACAGTGTATGGAAAGATTGGTGCATATATGCATCATTGTAAAATCAAACTATTCGGTTGTCAATGACGTATATTTACGAATTTTTATCAAACATACAATGACAATGTCAACATCATATATATATCTCGTCGTATACGTCAATCAAATATATAAAAAAAGAATTTTTCCAAATTTTGACAGCAAAATTTTTTTGAAAGAAAAATGTCAGTTTTTTTTCTGGATTAATTCGCCTATATCCTGAACTAATAATAATAAGTAATCATATCTTGAATGTGAATGAATTAATTATGAAAATTGTATTGTCCAACCGATGATTGGTTGAATGAGAATGCATGCACGGTTAGCATCCATAATCCAATTAATCCTTTGAGACAAAGCACTAACACACACACACACACATATACACAAACGAACAAACCAACAGAATTATCCATTATATATGGATTCGAAAACATCTGGTGATATATACAAGTGTGTCTTTGGATAAAAAGTAATTTTTTTTTTTTTTTTTTGAAAAAAGTTGCAAAAACAATTTTCACAATAGTTTTAATTTACAATTTCGAATTTCAATGTGACACGCGTTGCTGACTGACTGTTGTTGAATAAAAAAAAAGAATTTCAAATATATTCAGAGAAATTCATCGGTCTGTGACCGATTTTGGAAGCTTATCAGTATTCGAACATTCACACAGATCTAACACTAAACACGCGAGTCATATACAAGAAAAAAAATAGAAATTCCCAAAAATATTCAATCCAGTTATTTTTGTTATTTTCAATTAAATCAAATTTTATCAAGTGTTATTATTTAACATTTAATATAACAAAATAAAAAAAATCAAAATTTAAATTTAATAACTCAAAATTCCAGCATATCATTGGCCAGAAATTTTATTTGATCACCATCGGCTATGATTAATGTATCACCTTTGATTTTTGGTTGCGATTGTCGATCAGGAATACTTGCATCATACAAAGAAAAATCTTTAGCAAAATAAGCTTGTCGAAGACGATAATCATTATTCGTACCAAAATAGTCGACTTCATTCAGATTTAAACAATAACATAATTGGCCATTATCAATGTTCCAAAATCGGACAATATCATCCGAACCTGAGCTTATGATTAAATTTCTTTTTCGATCAATATTGATTTGATGAAAATGACTAGTGTTGTAATGTTTTCCATATTCGACGACAGGTTTAGCCTTGCGACCAAACATTCGTTTGTCATATTGTGCTAGATAATGATTGGTAGCGGATATAATCATTCGATTCTCGTCTAGTTTACATATGTCGAGTATTCTTGAATTTTTTCGAGGTTGATGTGAATTTCTCCATTTTGGACGACCATTGCGTGCCCAATTAAGACTGACAAATTCGATTATTCCACCAGGATAACCTATGACAGCACAATCATCGTTGGAATTTGGATCGCTTTCAAAATCTATACAACAAGCATTTTTAGGATGTGCTGCCTGCAGAACCAGATGTCCAATCGTGCAATGACAACATGTGTAAGGATTTGTGCCCAATCTAATACGATTTGACGACTTTGAAACTAATCTATCATCAATAATTTCGTATAGATCATGCCTAGATAAACTGGATACGTCTTTATATGTTTCAATTAAGTTGATCGTATTGAATTGTGTGATAGGATCATAATAAGGTTTCAACAGATATGAAAAATATTCATCATCATCATCATAAGGAATAGTAATGTTCATTTGAGGTTTTATATGAATTAAATTTTGATTATTATAGACGGCCACTAGTTGAGAATTTTTCGGTCCAGAATCGGTTGATTTAGGATTGAAATGAAAAAATCTTCGATGTCTACAATTGTCAAATGCATTATCCAATGATCGATTAGAGACAACAGAACAAAACCTAGAGCGAAGATAAGTGTTCACACCGGCAAGCTCGAATGTACGACGTTTTTTTGGATAGTACTGAGATTCATAAAAAGTTTGAGCTAATGGTTTCAAATTCGATATGATTGTTTGACGATAATATTGCATGAATTCACGAGCACGTCGTTCACGTTCCAAACGTTTGAATCGTTCACGTTGATCTGGCGTCATCCTTGATTGATCAATATTGTACCAATGTGGTTGATCACCTTCCATAATCATATGATAATTATACCTGGTTAAATCGGTCATTTTAAAATTTAATTTCGAAGTTTATTCTTAATTTTCATACGCAATCACTTGAACTTTACGCATGTGAGTCAAGAATCCAAAACAATTATCACTGCCATCTATGTTCGACTATCTATATTGTTTATGATTGCAATATGTTTCCATTCTGTTTATTGAAAACAAACTATGTGCATCACAGGTGTATTAATTATGTTGTTAAATCGTTTTTAAATTATTATCATTAATCTAGTTCACATGTCTTTAAATGAATGTTGGCTTTATATGCATAATATATGGACACTTCGGTGTTGGAGAATGAAACGAATTTTGATCTTTTCATTGATCATAATGATCATCATTATAATCATTTATTTAGCTATAGTGTTGAATAGCAAGAATAAAAACTCAATTTCAGAACATTCAACCACAATTACTTATGAACGACAAGATAGTGGTGATAGTGAGATAAATGATGATGGATTTTCATCTTTACGGCGTCAACATCGATTGAAAGAAACAAATTCGAACTTGGGAGATGATGAACAAATTAATAGGCCTTCATTGAACATTGACCAATCTTTGAGAAATTCGACGGCAAAAGCCAAACATTTGGTCGTTGGTAATGGTGACAGCAAGATCTTTTCTAGAATTAAATGCCGCAATTCGGCACAAGGAAAACTTTTAATCACTGATGATCGTGGTCATGTTTGTCAACGTCAACATATAATCATCAATGGTTGTTGTGATGATCTACATTTTGAAACAAAGAAATTTGTTTGTGATACATGTCAGGTATGTTCTACAATTGAATATTTTTGAAACATTTTTTAAATTATGTTTGTTCAACATTCAGACTAACGGATGTTGTGAGATTTACGAACATTGTGTATCATGTTGTATGGCACCCGAAAACCGTGATCACTTGAATCGAATGATTAACGGCGATGCTGATTTCGATGAAGAAGAAAAGAAAATGCGTGAATCATTGCAAATATTTTTTTCATCCATAACTGATTTGTTTGAATTATGTTTAATCAAATGTCGTACATCATCTGCTTCGGTTCGACATGAGAATACATATAAGAATCATCGAACAAAACATTGCTATACACTCATGGTAACAGTTGATCATTAGCGGGTGTCAAAGTTCTGTAAATCAATTATTTACTTACATAATAATCAAATTAAAACGAAAATGGAAGTATTTATGATTGCTCCACTAAATAATAGCAAGTTAGCAAACTGAAAGTTTCAATGTCACGAAATTCTCATTACATTTCCGGTGCTGGTAGTAAAAAAGGTACCAGCACCAATGTGTCCTGTTCGTGTTCATGCTCAACATCAGGTTCACAATCAGGCAAAAGTTGTTCGTATTGTTCATCGGTAACTCAAAGTAAAGGGAAATCTTCGGCGTCAACATCTTATACGACGACAACCGATTTTGAAGAAGGAATTGAATCTACTATTGGTTCGAAAATATTTCATGCCGTTGACGACATGGTAGATGTGGCATTGTCTCAGGCAAATCAACTTGATACTCAATATGTTTCCGGGTCAGGAACAGCAAGCTCTTCATTTCAGTCTAAACAGCAATCATTGAACACGACATATGTCTCTGGATCGAGTGCGATATCGAATCAACATTCATCGTTAGTGAAAAATGGCCAAAGTGGCCGCAATTTCAGTCAACTAAGACTACAATCAACATCAAGTAATCAAGGTTTACCAAGTATATTCGGTCATTCGTCTGCTAAAAAATCTTCAATTAACACTACCTATATTTCTGGTTCGAGTGCAGTAAAATCCACTAATCCAGCTTCAAAAGTTCAATCGAGAACAGCATCATGTAGTGGCTTTAAATCAAGTAATAAATCAACAACGCCCACCACATCCGGTATGAACGAGAACAAAAACAGAATGCATACAACAACTAGTCGAAGATCATTTCACAAATAAAACCGGTCAAACTTTATTTTAAAATTTTTAGTAATTAGATAAATTGTCAGCTAATTGATATTTCTAGAAATATACTGCACACCACAAATATGACATGAAGTAGAAAACAAATGAATGAAAATCTTTTAGATATTTTCCAATCGCATTGTCGAAATGTCAAATATAAAAGAGCAACGATGACCAACAATAATATGGATGTATAGGGCAACGCACTACTCTGTAATGTAATCAAAGATTTCTGATAGTTGCCAGTTTTAATCCAATTCAAAGAGAATTGTATGGCCCATGGTAGACCTAGACCTAATAGAATAGCGAAAATATTCGAAGCTATAGCTGCACATATTCCCATGGAAGCTTGGCCAGTTTTTTTGATGACAATAATCGATGTTACAAGATCAGGTACAGCAGAACCAGCAGCTAAAATGGTCATCCCCGAAATGGTCGATGGTATAGAGATCATATCACCTATAAGAAAATTTCAAAGTTATAGATTGAATGAATGATGAAAAATCATTATAAAAATACATACTTAGACCGCTTATTGACCATACGGTTACATATGATAAAAGTGATAACCAAATAATAGAGAAAAAGAATGTGACTACAGGCAATTTTGCTGGCATTGAAATTGAATATATCAATATGAATGGCATTAATAATATACGAAGTATAATATTATCAGTAAATCCAACGCCATTATCATCGCATTCATCGCCAAGTTTTTCATAATCAGATTTTGATTTGGTAAATTTCGCATTCTGTTGCTGTTGTTGATGAATAAGGTCTTCGATAAATATTTCAAACATGAATTTATCATCGAATTTGTCATTGCCATCAGATTGTTGATGATTGTGATTGCTTATTCGATTATCTTTAATCAGCAATTTGTTAATCATTGCAATTTCATTACATTTGTTTAGGTATTCTTTCATGATCTTATTTTTGCCATTTTTCGAGAGTGACGATTTCTCAATTTTAGAACTATGATCGAAATTGATTGTTAGATTAGGAAGTTGGCCACCACCGAGAAACAATGTTTGATGCTGTTGATTATTGTTATTTTGTATATATTTTCGATCCTTTTCAATAGGTTGCCGTTGCATCTGTAACGACTTTTCATCCGATTGAATTGGTGTCTGATTTTGTGATTTTGTCTTATCAGATTGTTCGTCAGGGCCACTAGCAGCACTGTAGAACATAACACCAATATATACCACGAATAATATCGTGAATAGTAATGAATCAATACTATATATTCATATGATAATCAAAAGTAAATGAATGAACGTTGATAAAATTGAAATAAAATAACTTACAAATCGACAGTGTTGTCTTTAATAGCCAATATCAGGACAATAATTGAAATAAAATAGAAAGTAAGGTCACGAAGTACGGCACTTTGTTCCAATCGGATCGATTGGCCAATGAAATATGCAGCAGCCAAGCCAGATGCTGCCGGTATTGCCAATATATTAAATACACCGCTACCAATGATGGCTCCAGTACCAATATCATTTTCGGTGAAAAATACACCGATAGCAGAAGAGAAAATTTCAGGACCAGATGTACCAAATGGTATAAGTATAGCACCGATAAGGTCGTCTCGTAAATTTAATGCTGTAAAAAAACGAAAAAATTAAAAATTGTAAATAACAGAACAATAAAATTATCAATGAACGTACTTTGACCGATGCTATTTAATGAAGGAACAAAATATTCGTCACAAAGATAACCAATAACCAAGCAGCAATAAATGAATATGACGATTCTTAGCAAAATTTCGATTATAAATAAAGCCTTTTTAAAACCGACCAAGAAAATAAAAAAAAAATATACTTTATCACGAATCAATGAGAATCAAATTTACCTTTGAGTTATCATCTTTTTTTAAATTGCTGCCAACAACTATTGGTGATGAATTATGAATGACCGAATTTGTGTTTTCTTTGCTTTTATCGGCAATGATATGATGATGATGAATGTCGTTATTTATGGTGTTCACTTTTGATGGAATCGAATCATTCGATTTGACGACGAATCGATGATTGTTATTCGGCGCCAAAAGAAGTGTTTGGATTACATTTGTAATTTCATTTGATGAAAGCGTTTCCTTAATAAATTGCGATTCCTCTTTTGATGATACGATCGATCGATTCACCGATCCACTGGTCGAATTGAATTGATTGACAATAAAATGATCAACAAGTTGCAAGCCAATGGGTAATGCTTGCACCGTAGACAATTCAGGACATCGATTCACGAAAAATGACGATGGCAACAACAAAAGCAGAGCAATAATTATTACTCTGAATATTGGTGCACGGAATTGAGAAGAATAGTTCAAAAACTGTTGGTCTTTTGTTTGCCAACCGTTAAAGGCTTTGGCCATCACTTGGTATACCAATTGTAATTGGTTAGAGTAAATCCGATACTGTTATTTACCAATCAATATATACTGAAAATGAAATGAACACGGAATGTATTTTAAGAACATATCAGCAACTGATATGGCAATAATCAGTAAAAAAATAAACTTCTTATATATATTGCTTGTTCGTTCATCATGATTGTATTCCATTATTAATGTTCATCATACACTCATACAATAGTGGACAGTTCAAGCCCACTAGATGGCAATAAGATTTTATATTGTAAGAATTACCGTTTATCGTTCGTTTTCCGCTTGGACATTAAAATGATGAAAATTTTTTTTGCGAACCAATTTGGATGCCATTTCCGTGATTCGATGATCATGCCACCTAGGTCTGATGATGATCCGTGGTTATTTCTAAAATCAAATGTTTGTGTTTTTCATGTCATATCAATGTTCTTCAAAACGGCAGTGAAATGCAGTGATTTGAATTGATGTGAAAAATTTCCATCGAATCCAAAACTATGTTTTATCTTCTGAATGAATGATCAAAACAAAACAATTCAATCCCTCTCAAAAATGATTGACAGCTCACACATATATGCATGGCATCGATTTTGATGATGATGCCGCTATGTGGATACATTATTAGTTGGTTCCATCATGATTGATAGATGAAATGGTTGTTCAACATTTTTTTTCCTTGAAATTGGCTCGCGATCATACATTGTCGTGTGCCGATCAGATGTGATGAGATTATTGAAAAAAGTACAAAGTTTAAAAGATGAGAAAGAGTACAATAGGCAAAAATGAATTTATCCTGCTGACCTTCGTTGTCGTTGATATTTGTTTTTTTTTGTTCACATAAATCCACAGATTCATAGTCATGCATCATGTATCAATTGTAAATCGCATCAATATCATTTTCTATCAATCGCTACTCTTTTTTTTACTATGTGGATAATGATGATATTAATCATCATTTAAATTGAAAAAATGGAAGTTTAGGAGAGAGAGAGAGCGATTGATCGATTCAAACAATGGATGGCAATCAATTGACCCCATATACGCATCATTTGTAAATGATTCGACTACAACGATGGTTGACAATGTCAAATCAATGTCATCATTGTATTGCTTTAACATTTCCATTATCTTATCTATCAGAAAAAAAGTGTAAAATTCCATTAAACATCAATGTTCATGTTTGTTTGTTTTTTAATGTATAAAAATCATTCATAATGTTTATTTGATTGATTGATATTTGTTGGATAAAGATCCTATATGGATAAATCGAGAAAAAAAAGAGAGATAAATATATGTGTTGAGAAACCCTGCTTGTTAATAGTAGTGGTGGAAGGAAAAAATTTTTTTGCTTCCAACAACAATCCACGTGACAATATTGTTGATCATCATCAATATATTTAAACACTTTGTAGTGTATGACGTGGTAACGTCAACTTGATTATTTATTTTGATGAAATGGATCCATGTTTGTAATCAATCGTATTCAAGTGAAAGATACAATATTTTTTTTCCATTGGCGATAATTCATCAACACAACAAAACTTGACCAATCATTCGATTAGATGTTTTTTGAATATAATTGTAATATTAAGAAAAAAAATAAAAGTTTTTACCAAAGAAAAAAAAAACAAAACTTTTAAAAAAATGAAAAAATTCATAATTCACGTCGGAAAAAAATATACGGAAATGTAATAAAACACACAATACATATATTAATGGATGCATTTGTAATAGATGTACACACTTGCATCGTTTTTTTTCTTCTTCTTCAAGTACAAACAAGTTTCAAGTTTTTTCAAAGCTGTTCAAAGAGAGAGAGAGAGAGAGAGAGAGAGAGAGAGAGAGAGAGAGAGAAAAGAAACCGAGTTTCATTCTATTCTTTTTCACAGTTAATCTTTCTGAAATAATCTGAAGCTTTTAGCCACCTTGTTCATTACATTTCGGACAAACGACGAAACGACTGACTTTTTTTTCATTCTAGTGGCCCGACAACAATTGAATTGTCTTTTTTTTTCTTTTTTTACATTTCACCATCATCATTCATCATTTGGACCAATGAAACAATACTGATATCTATGAAATGTGTGTACAAAAGATGTTGGCAATTATTTTGTTTTGATTTAATAATTTCAACTTGTCGATTAGAGATATACTGAAACAGACATACATTCAGCTACTTTAATTATTATTATTAAGGGCGGATAAATGTTCAACATGTTCTACAATGAAACAATTCATTCATTCTATCTATTAAAAAAATGTTGCCATTTCAAAGATCAATCAAGATTGAATTAAATTAAATTATTATTCGAAATGAAAAATATTTCAAAAATGCAGCAAAATTGATTATAATCAGAAGTATATTTATTGATTTTAAATTTTCAATATGGCGCCATCTTGTGATTGTGATTATTTAAAACAAATAACCGATTATATAAATTGTTGTTGCCCGTTTGGCCAAGTGTACTATTTGTTGTTTTATTAAACCCGAACAACCTTTTTATTATATCGGCGAATAATTTAAAACATTGATAGCTGTCAAGGCTCAAAACAACCACCACTCTCTATAGAGCTCAACAGGTGAGTCAACGAATGAGTGAATGAATGAATGCTGCATAATGTTGATGATGATGATGATGATGATCGAATCGAATATCAATCCATGCAAGAAGAGAAATAGATTCGCACGAGGCGAGAAAAAGAGAAAAACATAACAATATAATAAGAGTAGTAGAAAAAAGTTCACTTTTAGCTTGAATCAGATCTTTGAAGGATCAGTTAGTGTTTTCATTTAGTCTCAAGGTTTTTGTTAGATTGCTACATTGATCCATCATCATCATCATCATTATGAACATCGTTAACACGATATACGAGTCATTGCAGCAACACAGACATACACATAAAACACACACACGCATTTCATCATCATGTTTTATGAGCATCGTATATGACAAGATTAAATTATTGTTTCAAATTGTTTTACAATGAATGTTCCATCATTTGATTCTGCTTACAATATATCTGTGCTCTAATTTTATCTTATACAAATATTCAAACAGACCGATCCCTGACAACGATAGTTGTATCTGGGTGAGTAATAGGAAGTAAATGTTTGTATTGTCTACCTACCTCAAACAATACCCATCTCGATCAGTCAAGAAACTGTGTGTTTGTAATTATGTGTGTGTCTGTGTGTTTTTGTTGTGATATACCGTCGTAGAGATGTGTTTCAACTCAAATAAACACAACCACGATCAAAACAACAAAAGCTCAATGATCATTATAATAACGAAAGAAACACAACGACCATGATGCCAACACCAACAATATCTTTGGCGGCCACTGCATATTCGGCTAACAATAACAATAACATGGCCACCACCAACGCGAACAACAACCACGAAAAAAATAATCGAATCATAACACAAAATAATCATCTTGGTTCGATGATAATAACAAAATCGAACGGTAATAATAATGACCATTCCGACCAAAAATCAGTGATGGCCCAATCTTCGATCGACTCAACAAATGGTGGTCCACAGATTATGAATAATGATCATCAATCTCGTTTACGGCGACATATGACTGAAGAAATTAATGAAGATTCAATCTACAACGTATATCTGAAAAAGATAACCTATACTTTCAATAATGTTCTTAATAAACAACAAAAGTTAAAAAATGATAATTTCATCACCCGTTGTGATCAGGTGGATTATTCGTCATCAACTAAAGAACAACAAGAAATAAAAAAGAATGGTGGCAATAAATGGAATCATCATCAACAACAACAAGAAGATCAACAGGTAATTTTTTTAAAAATATTTTGAATGGTAATGTTTTATTTAGTTTAATGATGAAAACTGTCATTATTAACACCATCCAAATCGATTGGCCGAGATTTGAATTTAGAAAATAATTTATTTGATGATCCAGTTTTTTTTCTGAATGTTGTTTATTTATTTTTTTTCTCTCTGACCTGAATGTCTTCTATTTGCATTAACGTTCGAATAGTATATTATGTGTGTATCTATGATTATAAATAAAAATAATCGGTCAGAAGCTAAGATGAAAGTGTTTAGATGAGTCTTTTAGCATTAGCAGCGACGGCATTATACAGATGAATATTCTCAGGTAATAAAAATAATCAATATGGATAGCTATTAATATCATATATCGATGATTTTAAAGCAATAAAGCGCCCAAAGGGCTTTTTTGATGTTAAATAACAATGTACAGTTTAAATATGCTTGTCCTAAACGTCATTCATATTTCAATTGAACCCATCAATTCACCACAGTTATTTTATTTTATTTTTAATTTTTGGTCTGCTCGGTTATTTTTTTTTGTGGTGGTGTGGTGGTGATGATGGTTGATAAGAATGGATACACTTATCACAGAGAAAAAAAGAGAGAAAAGAAAAATAATCATCATCGAACAAAAATGCTATTTTTAGCAATTTTATTAATCAAATCAATCCTGTTATTATAAGAAACAAGTTATGTTGGCACGGTTCTCCAATTGATCAGTAGGTTTACCTATGATTGAAAAAAACGATCCATATGGATCACGTAATTGTTTGATCCATTGTAATTTTTACCATATATCATTATAAATGGTTTTTTTAAGTTAACATTATATGACTATAACTATGATGATGTAGTCATCATCATCATCATTTGCCAACTTTTTTTTTAACTACATTCACCTTAAATAAACATCCGATAACGAGCTATTCAAAAGTTTATTTTAATTGCCAAGAAAAAAAAATGTGATCATTTCCCGAACATAAACATTCACACAAACTCATCTGTCTTGAGAATGAAACCATAGCAAATAGTTAACAGCTTGTTGAAAATTTCAAATTTACGACTTCCGCTTGTTTAAATTTTAAAATGAGAAAAAACTTTTTCTAAAAAATAATTGCACTTATTGCTTTGATGGCTGTATTGATTTTTTTTTCTTTTTATTTTTCGAAATGTGTTTTTTTTGTCACATAACTCTAATATGTATAGAGTTTACAATGGGAAACAAGACAATTACGACAGATAAAAGCTGCCACTTTGGAACACTTAGTTCAATACATTCTACTACAAACTGAATATCAACAACAGCATCATAATCATTCGAAATCTAGTCAACATCATCATCACAACGATCATAGCGATAGTGATGAAGAATCCCAGCTAGAATCAAGCGATTTGATAGAGGAAAGGAATAACGTTGCCCATGTAATGCATGTATTATTCGCAACTTATCGGCAATTCTGTTATCCATGGCAATTATTTACCGAGATCATCAGACAAAAACCGTTTGCTAGTTCGAAACAATTCAATTTTATTCTATTCTATTGGCTCAACAATTATCCCGAAGACTTCTGGACTCCATGTCAACCATCGATGACCAATCCGAATACGAATTACATAGATGATCACACCTGTAGTCCTGATCATGGCAATCAAATCCATGATGATCAATCTTCATTGTGTAGTGAATACGCATCTTCGTCATCATTGTCATCGAATCTCGTTAGCTACACGGCAACAAGTCTATCATTGTCATCCACATCAAACAATGTATCCACCGATTCATCCCAATCATCAACATCATCATCATCATTATCAAGATTCTCGCCATTAACTTTAGCCGATCAATTGATTTCCATGCGACATATCGATGAAGAGGTGAAAAAACATTGCCTTCATTTGCTTGATATGAAAAAAGAGAATACATTCAATTCATCCACACTCAATCATCATCCTTATTCTTCCATACATGTAAGTGTTCCTTTTTTTATTATTATTCAAAATGAATCGAAATTGAATCCTATCGTGTTGTCCGATAGTGGATTTTAACTCTCCAGTTACTCGTCTACATTGTTTTTCAAAATCGATTCTTAACCTATTTGTAGCAATAGTCTAAAAATAGAATTTCTGATCTAATCGTTTTTGTTGTTTTCGTTGTTGTTGTCGATCTAAAGAAATCGGTAAATAAATCATCATCTATCATTGAATTGGACGCCAAATTCGTAGCTCAGCAATTGACCGCCATCGATCTGGTTTGTGATGCAAATCATCATGATGAGTATTCGTTCGCTAAATTTTATTATTTTTTCCTGTTTTAAATAGGAAAATTTTTTAGCATTAAAACCATATACATTATTGTCAAGTGTAAGAACTAAAACAAAAATCGAAACAATGATTCGCAATTTTAACCTATTATCTCGACATGTGATCATCACTATCCTGCAACATTCAACGTAAGTATTGCCCACTTAAACTAATTTGCATCATAATACTCTGATAAATAAATATAACCACTTGTGTAGACCTCATCTCGTCACAGTACATTGGATCGAGATAGCACAACAACTTAGAAAAATGAGAAATTTTAATTCATTAAAAGTAAGTTTGTTTATTGTGATCGTGATTGATAGTCTATATCAATTCATTTACATAGGCCATCATAGCCGGTTTGACTAATGAATCCATATATCGATTGAAAACAACTGTCTGGAATAGATTGTCTCGCAATTCAATGACAACTTTTCAAAATATGTCTTCGATTGTCGACGATGTGAATAATCAGACTATGTTGCGTCATACACAATTATTCATTGAGGGCACATCCAAAGTCAGGTTTGTGTGGTTTTATTTTGATTATAGTTATCATTAATCAATCATTATTACAATTCATCATTATCATCAAAATTCATAAAAAAAAATTCGTTCATTCAGTCTCGAAGATTCATTCGGTACAGTGCCATATCTGGGAACATTTTTGACCGATATAACCATGATCAACACACGATATGACAATTATATTAAGGTAAATTATTCAACCGTATAGTTATTTGAAAATAACCTTTTCTTGTTTTGTTTTGTAGATTGAAAAGGGCAAAAAATTGATCAATTTTGAAAAATGCGCTAAACAATATGAAATTCTTATGCAAATGCATTTATTACAAAAGAATGCAATCGCCGCCCTACAACAACAGCAACAACAAAACTATCAGCATCAAATCTATAGCCTCAATCATTATCTGTCATTACGATCACAATCGGTACCATCTATACCTCGTGTGGCAAGGATTTTTCGAAATTGGTTCCAGCTCAACGAATCCGATCTACCCAGTGATCGTGAATGGTAATAATAAGAAATGTATATCTTAATGGCAAATAAATAACCTTTTGTTTCTCTATCAGCTATCAGATATCCCTTGGAATTGAAAGCCCAGCAACGAAGAATGGCAAAAAATGATCACCAACAGCAAAAAAAAATGTTATTAAGAAAATCACACTTGTCACAAACAAAGTCTAAGTCACACATATTATGTTTTTTTGTAATCGTTTTTTTTATTATTTTCTGTTATTTTTCAATAAATCTAAAGCTAACTAAAATCATTGAGTTTATCAAGAAAATTCAGGTATTGTGGTCGAAATGATGTTTGTGATGGAATGGTGTGACCACCCGCATGTTTGATTATGAATGGACAATAAAAATAATCGTTTGCTAACGATTCAGAACGATCGTGATCCACCACTTGATCATTTTCACCGATTATATGTAACGAGGGAATACGTATCTTTTGATCTGCTAATCTATCAAACATGGCCACATGACTTGATGTCAGACTTTTGAATCCAGAACATAAGATAACAAATTTAAAATCGTATGGAAATTCTGGTTGCATTTATACAATCGGCTTAGAAATTATAAAAATTTTTAAAAAATTGAATCATTTACCATTAAAATGTTTGAGAATACATATTAAAGCAACCAATGATGCCCCTTGACTGAATCCCAATAGACCATCAAATGGTCCCTATTTTCAAAATGAATAATCATTAGGATTTGCGATAGAGATTTCGATTAAAAACTGACCATTTTTTCGAAAGAATCACATATTTTCTTCATCGATTCATCATACCCTTTAACATAATTGGATAAGTGTTTAGAACTAAAATAATCGGGATTTTCACCAGAAAACCACCAGCTTAGACAATCTTGTTCATTGTTGGGATTTTGTTCACCTAATGGTATTTGATGTGGCGCATCGATGATGACTTGAAAAAAAATAAAATTAAAATTCACATCATGAACAAAAAAAAAGATAACACATGTTCTTAAAAACTTACCAAACTCGAAATGATTTTTGAGAACTTTACGAAATCCTCCCGATTTAGCCTTGAATGATTGTGAATTTTGCCTGTATCCATGAAGGCATAAAATCTTTTCAACAGGAACAATAAATCAGAAAGAATGAAATTTTTTAAAATTCCAATGAAAAACACTTACTTTGAGACAATTTTTATCAGACATATGAATGATTTGTTGGAAAACAAAAATAAAAAACAGTTTCACACATTGTTTCAGTTGATTGATGCACGTGTAGTCATCGTGTTCAAAGTATACGTATACGATAAAATATGAATTTGAATTTTTAATAGCGCGCGTCAATATAAAAAATGCCGTTATAAAGCAATCATAAGGCTGTCCATATTATTATTAGCCCATATTAGATTTCTGTTCATTTAAAATGATTGAAAAGATGGTTTTTATCGTAACCTGAAGATCAACTGTCAATATAATAATGTACGAAGAAGCAGAGTGGAAATACAAGTTTTTATTTTGTGATAAAAATCAAATCATTGAATGTGATTTGATTGCAAATGTCTTGTTGGAAAGTAAAATATTTGCTTATCAAACATTAACACATACACACATACACACACATATATATATAGACAACTTACAATTTGAAAAAACGAAACATTCCGGTCAATATTGTTTTTGTTGATTTGATTTCAATTAGATTTTCTTGAAAGTTTGTGTTTATTCAACGCTAGAACATTAGATACGTTAAAAAAATGTTGATCGGTTTTATTGGATCAGGCAAAATTGCTCAGGCTTTGATTAAGGGTTTCACCAGTGCCGGAATATGTCGTGTTGAAAGTATATTGGCAAGTGCTCCAAAAGAGGATTATACAAATCATTATAAAACTCGTGTAAGTAAAATGAATCAAAAATTTCGAATAAAATCACATCGGTTTATTTGTTTGTGCATGGCCAGGACATTGGCTGCCGTACTACATATGAGAACAAAGATGTGCTCAAACATTCGGACATAGTGATTTTAGCTGTAAAACCACCGATTGTACCTCAAGTATTGGCTGACATTAGTAGTTTTGTCACACCTAAGCATCTGATGATTTCGATTGCTGCTGGCATTAAATCGAATTCGATTGAAAAATTATTACCGGAACAATCCAAAGTGGTTCGAGTGATGCCAAACACCCCAGTATTAATCAAACAAGGTGCAAGCGTATTTTCATTAGGACGTAATGCACAGAAATCCGATGGAGATGTAGTAAAAAAATTGTTTGAAAGCGTTGGCATTTGTGACCAGGTACCAGAAAATTTGATCGATGCATGTACGGCTCTGAGTGGCTCTGGACCTGCTTACGTAAGTCAAGACTATAGTGTTTAATCGCTCGATTTTCAAATTATCTTTTGATCATAGACTTATATGTTTTTGGAGGCAATGGCTGATGCTGGTGTACTGCAAGGATTGTCTCGTGAACTTTCCTACAATCTGGCTGCTCATACTTTGATTGGGTAATAAATTTTTTTTTTTAATCAAATATAATCGATAAAAAACAATGGCTCAAATTTATAGTGCAGCTAAAATGGTTTTGGAAACAAAAAAACATCCAGCTGGATTAAAGGTAAGTCATATTGATTCATCGAAAATCATCATTGATATTAAATTTTTATCGACAAGGATGATGTATGTTCACCATCTGGCTGTACGATTAATGCAATGTATAGTTTGGAAAAGAATGGTTTCCGAACAGTACTTATGGATGCTGTTGGTGTAGCCACAGAAGTAGCACGAAAAGATGAACAATAATTTTGGTCAATAAATCAATTATATAAATAATGACTAACAAAATGTACTTAGATTGATCGATCAGACAATTTTATTTTTGCATACTTTGCAAAACTGATACGATTATCAACAATAATATATATTCACACACACACACACACACATACACAAAGACAAGTAAGCAAACAAAGGAGCCATTTATTTTAATTATTAAATCAAAAATATTACATAATAAATAATCTTGATCTTTTTTTTTGGCGATTAAATTTATTTGTGGACGTCATCGAAAGAAAAAGCAATGCTGTTTTTTTCTTGTATTTCGTCAATTCGTAGTCAAGAAGTGGTTCAACAACAGTCTAAAAATTTTAAATTTGTTTACAAAAGATTTTGTCAACTTGTTCCATGATGAATATTTACAAAATAAAATAAAAAATAATCGAATAGAAAATTATCTTTAGATTTGAAATTTATATTTCGAATGAGAAGCTTGATGATGAAAATAGAAAATAAAATGTGACAATTATTCAAAAATGGATAAAAACATAAAAGGATTGAACAAAAGAAAAAACTTGTACAATTTATTCGGCTGTTAATGACTGATTGGAAAATTGAAATTAAAATCGACAATCATGAAAAAAACTTAGCAGAGAATGACATTTTTTTTAATCATCATCCAAGTCTAAGTGTGATAATTCGTCCAAAATTGCTTGAATGCGATCGATTTTTTTTATCGAAATAAAGCTATCTGTTGGTTTTTGTTGCGAAAAAGAGAATTTTTTGATTCAGTTTATGGTTGTGGGCAAATTGGTCATCAATTATGAATGAGACCAGAGTGATTAGTGAATATGAAGTTATCACACCGAAAAAGCAAGAAAGAAAACATATCACTAGTGAAATCAAGTAAATTCAAATCAAACAAAGATTTGTTGAATGAACAGGAAATGATTGATTGGTATGATTCTTGCATTATCGTTGGGTTGATTGATTGATGTCTGATTTAAGAAATGGATGATACTACGTGGTTGCTGGTCGATTCGGATAGGCATTGACACCAATCGATGACGATGAAAGGAATGGAAACAAATCCAATACGTATAGACAATTATCATAGAGTTTTTGTCTCGTCCACATATCCAATTCCGGCCAATGTTGAAAGACGAATGTGAACATTATGATTACAAATACGCTGGTAAATATTCGAGCTCTGTACCAAATTATAATGAAAAATGATCAATCAAAATAGGAAATAAACATAACAATGCTCACCGTGTCTGTAAAAATGGTGCCAAAATGTTAGCTACGGTAGCGACCAGCAATAGAATAACTTGTAAAACGGTCAACAGAACGTTGATCAATTTAAGTACGAGTGCTCGGGCATTCGAATTATCCAATGAGTCAAGATTGACCAATTGCTGTAAATGTTGATGTTGTTGATGCTCCATTCGTGATATCTGATGTATGAACAGAATTTATAATTGGATTTATCTCTAGAAATCGACTATCAAACATACCCTTGTCTGGAAGCTTTCCAACATTTCATGTACATCCCTATGTCGTTCATCGGTTTGATATTGAATCTTTTCCTCGAGATCTGAAATTGTTTGTTTGAGATTTTCAATCTCCTTCTGGTGGAGCTCGGTTAAATCATTAAGCTGCTCTTCTAATCGCTATAATGGCCATATGATACGAAACAAAATGTTTAGATTATCGAATAAAAAGACAAAAGTGGAAAGTAAACATCATTATTATATATGATACCTCGACACGATATTTTTCATCCTGAAGCGTTTGATTGAATAGCAAACATTCGGATTGGAATTGATTTTTTAGCGTATCAATTTCTTCACCAAAACGTAAACAATCTTGTGTTCGTTCATCGATACGATTTCTTAGCTGATCAATATCTGCAACAGTATAATATCCTATAGGATGGTGCCAATTTTTCAAGGATAAATGAACATTATTATTACTATTGTGAATTATCATATTCAAAGATCTTACGTTTAAATGGTTTCATTCGTAATGGACTGCTACTGTAATGAGCACTATTAGTATGGCTATTCATACCACCCAATTGACCAGATTCCGATGTAATACTTGAACTATCATCATCATCATCTGATGTACATTTCGTACTATGACTATGTGAATGACTATTCGAATTGAGCATCCCGGAATTACCACCTACCCCGCCAGTAACAGTTGTTGGCTGTTGTGACATTTCCGGATCAATTAAATATGTGACAAAAGTACTGGTTGGTTCTTGTTCCATGCTATTCTCTGTATTATAAAAATATAATAAACTTTTAAGTTTATTGTCCAAGAAGATAGGGCAAAAACATACTCTCTGCATTATCGGCAGTGGTTCGTTTGAAAAATTCTTTCGGTTTTGTAATCACAGTCCTAAATAAAGTGAAATTGGTTAAAATTAATGAGAAAATTTGTGTTGAAAACTTACTCTCCGGCCGTATGTATACCCGATTTGATGCCTTCGATTACACCACCGGAAAGACCACTGATACCTTCTTTGATATTTGTTCCAACATCACGAAGTCGTTCTTTCGGATGACGATGATAGATGCCGCCGTTCTTTATCCGTTCAAGTTCCTGATCCAAACGATTCATCTTTTTCTGACAACGAGCAATTTTTTGTGAAGATTTTTGATTTTTCTTTTCAAACACTGTTTTCAAACGTTGACTTTGATTTGGCTGGGCACTCGATGTCAACTTGAGATATTCATTTACATTATCATTACAATTGATTTGTTCTTGAGCGATTTTTTTCTTAAATTTCCGAATTTTCTGTTCGATTTCGGCGATGGCACGTTTAGTTTCATCATTCGGGGTCAGAGTAGTCGATGGCAGAGCAGCTGTTTGTGACGGAAGTTCAGCACCTGAATCGACTTGTTCACTTGAACTAGATTTCATAATCGATCCGGATATTGCTGTGGTCACTTCCGAGGGATTTAATAAAAAATTTCGATTTCGGGTATCACTAATGTACGACGATTCTAACAAATTGTTATGTGCACGTCCTAGCGATAAGTAATTGGATTGTGGGGTTGGTGGTGGTAGATGAGAATGATGGTGATTCGTACTAGTCGAAGATGAGGACATAATATCTCTAATGGATTGGGGGTTTAGCGTACTATATGAACCATGGCTGTATCCACGGCGATGTGTCGGCTTCAACCCTGCTGCTGCTGATGAGGATATTGTTGTCGTCGATGCGGTCGAATGATGTGAATGCGTGGGCGATGGTTTCGGCTGCTGTGGTAACAACTGAAATTGAGCATGACTAGCATTCATAGTATTCGATCGTTCATTATCACTAGTCGATTGTTTATGGATGATGATATTATTCCTATCATCATTACCATCATCATCAACAACAATTTTATTAGTTTTATCATTATTAAATATTCGATTATGATCAACGGACAATGTACTTGGCGATATGGTGGTATCGATATTTGTTATTTGATGATCCGATGTGCATACAAAGGCCTTAACAGCAGCAGCAGTTCGAGTATTATTATTGTCGTTCGAGTTTCGTAACATTATATATGATGCTAATGATGAGCAGCCACAACATGACACAACGACGATTATGATGAATCAAATCAGTATACCAGCTTAAACACCGGATTAAAGAAGATTCATACATCAAATATATTTATGATATGCGCACAAGTACAAGTCAACGTATACAAGAGATCGATTGGTTTTTTGGAATTTTTTGCTTCATTACAGACCAATCGATCGGTTATGTGTTGGATGAGAATGAATACGATCAATCAATATAACATTAATTTATCATGACTGATAACACATTGATTTATGATAAAAAAAAAACAAATAGGCAGGTGAATATGGAGCCAAATGATATATATTTTTTCTGCTTTTAATCAATGATTATTATTATAACACATTGACAAAATGAACGCAACATCATATAAACAAGCACAAACACGATGTATTTTGTATTGAGTGGAATTAGGATGCTGTGATATGATTTCGATGATGATGGATGAATATTTTACAAACGAATCAAAGCCAAATGCAATTGCACATTTGAAATGAGGGGGCTAGTAAAACTTGACTACGGGCAAAGACAGTAGCATTTGGACTTAAATCAGAACGTGTTGGATTTTAGCTATAAAGAAAAAAAATGAAAACGTCATATATAAAAATATAAGAGAGCAGAAATAAACAAATAAAATAATAATAGTTTAAAATATATAGCAATTAATACTGTCAATCAACATTGAAATCAATTAATTATGTGTGTGTGTGTGTGTGCATGCATGATGAAAGAGAGTTTACCGGAGATTTTGAACCGGAAATACGTTTCTGGAACTGTCAAAAGAGAAAATTGGATCGTCATTATTTTTCTCCAACAAATAAATACGCATCAGTAACGTCAAATGAATGCAAGAGATACTGAAGAGTTTTATCATGCACTTAATATATGAGTCATGCACATTGTATCATCATTATACAGAGTCTCTTTTATTTCGATTAAGAAAGTTTGGAAAATTGGCCACCAACTTTTTTTTATATATAAAGGACAAGGACAACTTCACAACGATAATGACGAAAAAACAAACACACACACACACATAATCATATGTAAGCATACAAGAATAAGTTATCAAAATAAAAAGTCATTTCATTTCATTAGTCATACCTGTTTGGTCATCAACATCAGAGTGAGATCAGATGATATTATATACCATTGTGATGTATGGTGTAACGGTGGTGCAGGGTTGAGCAACACCGAAAAGAGATTGATGAGAAAAACACCGGAAAAAATAGGGACTAATTAATTATATCACTAGAGGACAATGAGAAAGAATAAATATGACTTATGGATAGTAAAAAAAAAATCATGCAGTATGAAGAAAGTATGGTCAAATAAAAACAACAATAACAAAAAACAAAATCGAAATATTGACGATGATCGAAAAGATTGGAATAACTGGCAACAACAAATGTAGCCATCCAATCCTCCAATATACACAGTTATAGACTATCGGTTGTTTAAATATATCGTATGTATACGATATATGGCATGCAATGTCTGCTCGAACTCAGCTCACTTTAGTTCATATACACACAACAGAGTTGTGCATTTTTCTTTCATTTCTGTCAGCCCCAACATATTACAATACACCCCCCTGATCACTTACTAATTGTGAATTGAATGAATCAATGAGTTACTCCAAGATACCACACTGTGGCGTTCTTGCTAGTGTTTTTTTTCTGGTTTCGTTCGAATAAACGAAATTATGCGCAGGTACTTTTTTTTTTTTTATTTAGTTTGTTTTGGATACATTCGATCTTTGTTTTTTGAAAATGACGCCCAAACAAACAAATGTACCAAGAGGGAAAAAAACTTTTTCCATTTATGCTTAGAAAAATAATGTAATGATTTTTCCTCAAACCAATCAATGAGCATGAATAAAATGTGCATATTAAATTAAAATGTCGATTTATTTTAAGTATAATAATAATCATGGATGGAATGTTTGCTATGGCATGGTGGTGCACCAGAGAAGAGAAAGAAGCAACCGTAATAAAAACAATATAAATATACGTTAATTACCATGATTTATTGTTATAGATTGTCAATAGTATTGTTGTTGTTCATCAAGCGATTATCGTGAAAAAAATTGACTTGGCTGTCCATCATTATCGTTATTTCAAGCTGTTTAGAAATTTCATCTCTTCACCTCGAACTAATAAATTATCGACAAGTTTAGTCTCAGTTTTGACCTATAAAATATGAAAGAAAAAAATTAAATTATTAGAAATTGAACGATGAGTATTTTATAAAATTTTCTCACACACATTGATCATTGATGTACGTTCGAATGAACTAGCTCCACAATGTTGACATTGATTGACCGGAAATAACGAATCATATGTAAAACGACGTTTTTTGCAATGTTTGCATTGGAAAAATCTTTTTTTTACCTCATGAAATCGTACCAAATGATTACGAGATTTACACAAGTCACTTTGTGATGGAGCCGTATATTCACACATTCGACAAGTAACAACTTTGACCATCATTTCAGTTATTTCAGCCAATCGATTTTCATATCGTTCACGTTTTTCTAAGGCCTGAAAATGTTTCTCACAAGCAATACGTTCGATTAAATCTACAGCACCACTGTTGATTGATTTCCGTTGCATAGCAGTTTCGATCAATCGAGATTTTTCCTTGTCAGTTTCTGCCTGTTCTTTTTTCAATTCTTCATTCGATTCGTCGAGACTTGCGTTAACTTTTTTCAGAATTCGTTCAAGTTTTTCATTCTTGCTCGTAATCGATTTTGTACTTTGTGCTTGTTGTTTCTTTTTAAATATTTCAATCGCGCGTTGTTTAGTTACATCAAGTTGCTTTTGGTTGTTAGAAATCTTTAAATCAATCATTTGTCCAGGTTTATATCCTTTTGCCAACAAGGGTGAATCACTTTTGCAATTTTTTGTATTTGGTAATTTGGTTTGAGAATTTTTTAGCTGCATAAAAATATCTTGAGGACAGATTGGTTTATTTGGTTCTGCTTGTACACTAGTTAGTGGTAATGATGACATTTTTTTCGATAATGAGCTTTTTGGATTAGTTTGTTGTAAACTTGAAATTACAGCCAAACTTTTGGCTGATCGTGACAATGGATTGAGCATTACTTTTTTAAGATTCTCCTTTTCAACTTGCTTTTTATCCTGCAATTGAGATCGATTCACTTTTGTCATTTCTAGTACAATATTATTCTGATTTAATGTAGCATTCGGTACGAAATTATTGGCAAAATGATATTGTTCAGGTTCTTTATCGGAAAACGTCGATTGAATTTCGGCTCGTTTCGAGCTAAATTTTCTAAATGCATTCTTAATATGATATAAACAAAATTCATCATCCGCTTTCATAATTAAACTGCCACAAATATCTCCATTCTTTTTAATCGCTTTACAATGGCCCAAATCCTTGGAAGTACCAATATGCAATAATTTATCAGGATCATCAATGGTTAAAGGACCAATTTCTGAACCTTTTTGATTTTTATTGTTCTTGTCCATGAAAGATGCATTCAATAGACCGATGACAGCTCCGACCGGTAGCTTCCAATGTTTTTCATGTGTCTTTCCAAATAGGAAAAAACTAAAAGTAGACTTTTCTGAACTGAGATCGCTTAGGTTCCAAATGGAATATTCTTTGCCGTTTCTGCTTGTCTTGGTCATTTTGTTTAAAACGACGCCGATTGTAACCCAATCACCATCGATATCATGAGTAGATTTATTTATGGCAGATTTAATCTGTGACAACTTGATCATTTTACGACCACGCATCGATTCACGAAGCTCATCACTTGATACTAATGGCTTGGTCATGCGAATTCCCGAATACAGCTCTTTCACTACAGTTTCATCTTTCGAATGAGACTGATTAGTGCTGGAGTTTTTGGATTTCCAGTTGTCTAATGAAATTTAAAAAATTAAACAATTATCATCAAATTGTGACATATACCTCGACGTATTTTCTTATTCGAGTAAAAACCACCGACATCATCATGATTGTATGATTGGAAATTCTGTTTACGTTTGCTAGTTGCACCAGCCAAATTATCATCATCACTGAATCCATCTAGATCGTCAATATTACCAAATAAATCTTCAGCTGAGAAAGACATAGTCTGAAATTTTTTTTATGAAAAATCAATCACGATCACCATAAAATTTGGGCGGCAAATTTTTTCATGCACACATTTCGACCATTTTAACGTTTGTATGTGCATGCGTCAAAATGGAAAAAATCAACAATTTTCTTGTTTTGTTGTCTTGTTTGTGATTCTGATATTAATATCTGTAGAAATTTGAGGATTCATTGAATCGATACGAATTTCTTTGATCCAAATCCAAATATTTTTTTTTGTTGAGTTAATTTTCTTGTTTAGAGTTCTTCTCTTTTTTTTTTTGGCCTTCATTTTCCCATTAAATCCGTTCTCAATTTCATTTTTTTTTTTTATCATCATTATTGGCCCAAAATTATCACCGTCATTGCCCTCGTACATATTTGTGGCGCGTTGGCCTTGTAATTTACAAATTTTTTTTCATCTCCAAAATAAAATGAATGCATTGTTGATGAAATGAAAAAATCTAATTGTAATGAATTTGTATATTATAATTATATCGCGTTGATAGAACAATGATTTGCATGAAACAATATGTTTAGTTTGACCGAAAAATCAACAAATTTTCAATGAAAGGTAAGTGAGATTTATATGATGGTATATGCAAGTTAATTTTGTATTCAATTTTTGTACAGAATAGGCGTAAATATTTCGTGATATCATATTTTGATCTTCATCATCGTGATGATATATTTTTATATTAATTTTCCTCACTCACAATACATTCAACTCAATAATCAATGGCCATTCGTTCAATATGAATATTGCAAATAGTCAACAATCATTATTCGTTACAAAAAATGGATCCATTGATACAACGACAGATCGTCAAATGGATGATGGTGAAAGTAAAAACAAGAGCAAAGAAAAATCAGAAACCGAAATGATGATATGTAGACCTCAAACGCCAATGCAACAATCGTGGCTTCTTAGGCTTTTTGAGTCAGAATTATTCAACATGAATATTGCAATTACGTATCTATTTAATTCCAAGGAATCCGGTGTATTATCCTACTTGGGTAATCGAATGTTCACATTTCCGCCAGATGATGTAGATTTTTTTCTACCACAATTAATTGTTTTATATATCCACAATAACAACATTGCTGATGCTATACATCCCTATCTGATACATCGATGTCGTCACAGTGTATATGCATCGACTAAATGTATATGGCTTTTAAATGCATTTTGTCCAGAAACACAGACATCAACAATAACCCCGATGTTACATTCCCGTAAGAATAAATCCCTGGGACATAGATTACGAAAGTCGATTCTCAACGAAGAGTTCCGATTATCAACTGCTGCTAAAGCTGATGCTAACCTATCAAACGACATGAACAATAGTAATTATTTAAATCATTCCTTGGCCAATGCAAAAATTGGCCACAATCATCTTCGTACACATTACCGATCATTTAGTGATGCAATGACCAAATCACAATTATCCGGTATCAATCTGAACCAAACGGTATCAACAATCGGTTGTATCCATCATCAACAGAATCAAAAGAATCGTTTTCTACGTATTCCGTCGACGACTACAAACGTAATAATGAAAAATTCAAATCCTAATGAGCAAGATAATAATCTGAAACAAGCATTTCCAAGCTGTCTTTGTGCAGCTCTAAGAATTAAACCTGAATATGAATTTATACGTTGTCTGATGAACATTGGATTGAAAATGCAATCGGTTCCTAGCAAAGAAATAAAATCACAACTTTTGATTAGCGAATTATCCACCTTGAACATTCAACTACCTGCTCGTGTTTGGATACCAACTTATACAAAACATTCGCATATGATTGTACGAATACCGCCACATGCAGCAGTCGTGTTGAATTCTAAAGACAAAGCACCATATTTGATTTATTTCGAGATATGTGAATGTGATGACATAGAAAAATCGCCAGTTCCAGTGAAACAAGCACTAAATAATAGCAGAAATAGTCTCAATGGCAGCAGTAATAGCATCAATTTTTTAATGATGACAAACCATAATCATGGTGGTAATTTCAATTTGAATCAGCAGCAAAAATGTCCATTAGAATCACAATCATCTTCACAAACTCATTCGACATCTATCATTCGACAGACGAAATCTGAAGAGAATCTTATCGAATTTTCTATAAAACATGGAACAACGGCTACGCTCAACAATAATCTTGATCAAAAATTTCCAATTCCATGTGAAGATTCTGGCAACAGCAAAAGCAACGCTGTTGTTGTTGTAGTTGGTGGAGATGATGAAGAGGAAGAAATGCTGATGGCAAGGCAATATGGTGCATTTAATGTTTTCCGACGGTTGCAAAATCAGCAACAAGCCAATGATAATTTATCACAATTTTCCACGGATTCTACGGCTAGCAGTGAAGGTATATTGATAGCTGCTGGTGATATTCGCCGTCGTTTGAATGAATCAGTCGCTTCAAAGGATAACAATTTCAATCGATTTTGTCCTGAAGATCCATCCGCTGCTGCATTAAAAGAACCATGGGACGAAAAAGTGTCCAGAATCCGTGAATCGTCTCCATATGGCCATATCAAATCTTGGCATCTTGTTGCTGCTATAATCAAGTGTGGCGATGATTTACGACAAGAAATGATGGTATATCAGGTGTTGGAAACATTGAAATCAATATGGGAACAGGAACGGGTTCCATTATGGTTGAAACCATATGCCATTCTTTCTACGTCGCCGGATAGTGGTATTATTGAACCGATTCTCAATTCTATTTCATTACATCAGATCAAAAAACATTGCCAAATTTCATTGCTCGAATATTTTGTCCGAGAATTTGGGGGTGGTTCGATGAGTTCGGAATTATTTCTAACAGCTAGAAATAATTTCGTACAAAGTTGTGCCGCTTATAGTATCGTTTCTTATTTGATGCAAGTAAAAGATCGGTAAGTAGTAGTGTCTGAATGATGTGATTGTTTATGCTTTTACTAATCGTGTATTTATCTTTTTGGTTAGACATAATGGCAACATTCTTCTCGACAATGAAGGCCATTTAATTCATATAGATTTTGGTTTCATACTGTCAAATTCTCCACGAAATTTGGGCTTTGAAAATTCCCCATTCAAATTAACTCAAGAATTTGTTGATGTAAGTAAATATTCCAGATAATGACATTTCTTTTTAAAATATCATCTCGACTATAGGTGATGGGCGGCAACAAAAGTGATATGTTTGAATATTTCAAGATTCTCATACTACAAGGTTTAGTAGCTGCACGTAAACATACGGAGCGTTTGGTGACTTTGATCGAAATTCTCATAACTAGTCCATCGATGTCGGCTTGTTTTTCCAACACGGCATCGATCTTACGTTCATTTCGTGATCGTTTTCATATGAATATGACTGAACAACAATTGCAACAGCATGTCGATACCTTGGTTGATACTAGTATCCATTCGATAACGACCAAACTCTATGATGGTTTCCAGTATTTCACCAACGGTATCTTCTGATGATTATACCCACTTGCGGCGATCATAAAAGCCAGCCGAGAAGCCAAAAACGAAAATTTTTCGATCCTATTTTTGTTATCAGATTATTTACATTGTTAATTATTTTATACATGAAATATTTATCATTAGAATATTTGAATTACTCAAATGAAAATTATCATTAAATTTGAGTTGCTACATTATGTATTTTCGCGCTACTCACATTTTGTCACGTTCTTTATTGATGGCATCTTTAGGCGGTGAAAAACAGGGGTTGCCCGATGTTTTGCCGATTGTTTTTGTCTCGGTTTTTTTTGCATTTGTAATTGTTGTATACAAAATAAAAACATTGGAAAATTAATGTTTTTGCTTTTATCAGAATTCACTTTAGCCCTTTCTGTAGTGATTAAACTTTGAAATTCTGAAAATGATTTTGAAAACTATTATTTATCCTGTTTCCTGCATGAGCCGTCATTTCTTCTGAATTATTTGGCATTATCGTTGAATACTTTTATTCATCATAATTTTTGCATTTATTGTGTATGAGAACACTCATCTAGGCTTTATTGTCGTTCGTAATTTCAAGTTTCAAGTTCTGTGATAAAATACAAAAATTTACATGAAAGATTTGTTATAAAAAATTAATCGGAATCGAATGCAAATTTTCATTCTTATTTTTTGACGTCAACTTTGTTTTCTCATCAAAAAATGCCTCCCGATCATTCTTTTAATGTCAAAGACTTTATAAATGAAGCCAAAGATGATTTTCATTCACCAACAACATCGACATTTTATTCAAATATTTCCTATTGTAAACAATTGGTCAACTCTATTGAAGAGGTTCGACTGCTAAACCGCTTAAGCACTGTTTATTATTATTTTATTTTTTCCAATCCTTAGGGCCTTGATCTTGATCGAAATGGATTGTCCAAGATGAAAAAATCTGTTAAAGCTATACATAATGGAGGATGTGGTAAGCATTTTTTTCGATTTGAATTTTCAGATTTTATTTTTTAATTCTTTATTCTTTATAATCGAATAGCTAATTATGGAAATAAAATCATATTGTCGAATCTTTAGAAAAATTGGGTATCAATTCGTCAAATTTACGTGAAAAGGAAGAATTTATTGGAGCTGCATTTGTGAAATTTTCATTCATCGTAAAAGAATTGGCCGCTTTGGAAAAAACTTTAGTATGTCATTTTTTTATTTGTAGTTTAATGATTGTTTTACAATGTTTATCTTTGATATCAAGATGCAAAGCTTATGCAATATAATTATGTTTCCCGTGGATAACGTTCTCAAAGGTGATCTTAAAGGTGTGAAGAATGAGTTGAAAAAACCCGTCGATAAAGCGTTAAAAGAATATGAAATTAAAATGAGCAAACTTGAAAAAGAGAAAAAAGCTCAGGCCAAAGAAGCCGGATTAATACGGACTGAAATAACCGGAGCTGAAATGGCAGAAGAAATGGACCGTGAAAGGAAACAGCTCCAATATCAGATGTGTGAATATTTGATTAAAGCGAATGATATTGAGATGAAGAAATCTTTTGATTTGCTACTGCATTATATCGAATATTTTAATGCTCAATGTAAATATTTTCGTGCTGGTCTTGAAGCAATTGAACAATTTCAATCATTTATCAATGATTGTACAGTACAGATACAGCAAGCACGACAACGAAAAGAGGAAGAGAAACGAGAATTGTTCGAACTTAGATCATTGCTTAAATCATCCAATGCATTATTTGATACTTATTCGATGAATACTAGTTCAATAATGAATGATTCGCATCATTCGGATCAATCGAATAGGCGATCGGTTGGCTATTATTCTTTACACCAACCTCAAGGTAACAAACAATATGGGTGTTATAAATCGGGATATTTGCTGAAAAAATCCGAGAGTAAAATGCGTGTCAAAGTATGGCAAAAACGTAAATGTGAAGTCAAAGACGGATTCCTTTACATTTGGCATTCGGATGAATCAAAACCACCTACTAAAGTAAATTTGTTGACATGTCAGATTAAAACTTGTCAGCAACAACAGAATGTGCAATCACAATCGATAACAGGTGATGATAGAGCACAATCATCATTGTCACAAACATCCAATCTGACCAATCCGGCTAATAATCAACTTAAAAATTTTGGAACTAATTTTGATCTCATCTCCTATAATCGTACTTATCATTTTCAAGTAGAAGATGAACATGATGCCGAAGCCTGGATATCCGTTCTAATTAACAACAAGGAAGGTGCTCTTAAAAAAGAGTTTGATAACTCCACGTCTGATAAAGTTGCAAATTCTGAGCTAGCATATTCATCGATGGCAATGACCAATTCTAATAATCGAATAATAGATTCATCAAATGATCCAAATTCCAATCTTCCTAAACTTCGTCAAAACATAATTGAACATATACGAAAACTGCCTGGTAATGACTGCTGTGTAGATTGTGGTTCAACCCAAGAACCAACTTGGCTGGCTACCAATTTCGGTGTATTGACTGTAAGTTTTTTTTTACCTAAATGAACATATTTTTATTTCAAGTTTTTATAGTGCATTGAATGTTCTGGAATTCATCGTGAAATGGGAGTCCATGTTTCACGGATACAATCACTAACATTGGATAATATTGGTACATCACAGCTGCTGATTGCAGCAACAATGAGTAATAATGGCTTCAATGATATTATGGAAGCCAGCTGTAATATTCAAACATTCAAACCTAAACCAAATAGCACAATGGATGAACGAAATCAATTCATTAGGAATAAATATCTACATCGCAAATATATAATTAAAACATGTACATCCGAATTGGAATTGCTAAATGATCTCGAACAGGCTGTTCACTCCAAAGATATATACTTTCTGTTACAGGTTTGGGCAGAAGGTGCTAATCTTAGTGCGCCATTACCATCAAATACTTTGATGGAAACGGCATTACATCAGTCGATTATGCGGGAATATGATGGCAGTTCCCTTTATATCGTTGATTTTTTAATCCAAAATTCGCCCGATCTCGATGTGATAACTAGGCCGGATGGCAATACGGCTCTACATTATTGTGTCATATATAATCGACCAGAATGTATGAAACTATTGCTTCGCTCAAAGGCCAATTATTCTCTAAAAAATAAAATGAACAAAACCCCAATGGATTTAGCTCGAGATGATCAGAATATATTTTTGATCCAATTGGTGAGTTGAATTCTTTCGATTTAGGGAATTTTAATTGATTGTTTCTTGGTTAGCTGGAATGTGCGGAAAAGAATCAAAAATCATTGTTTGAGAACATTATCATTCACTATAGTGTCCAGACGGAAGATCCATCCACCGATTTTTCCGATGATGATCTCGATGAAAAGGTTTCTATTCGAGTGCTTTAACATTCTGTAGTCTTTTAATAATTTTGTTGTCATTCCTCTTAGAATGGTGCAATCAGAAATGCTGATGAAATTCGCCGTGTGAATCAATTGATGTTCAATCAGAATGAACAATCATTGACAAATAATCGAATTCGTTCTAGTAATCGAAAATTTTCATTTCGCTATCAAACTGAAAGCGAATCGGATTCCAATGAATTGGTAATTCTTATATCATTCAATTTTTGGCTGATTTATTAACAATATCATCATTTAATATATATAATTGCAGAAGAGTAATGCTCAGACATCAAAATCATCTCTTTACAACAATTATTCTACAGCCAATCATACAGCAGGAACATTTACTTCCTCAGCTCAAAATTCTCGACCATCAAGTGTAGTTGGAGATTTTTATTCAACTGTAGTGAATATTGATACTTCAAATACAAAAGCCACAAATATTGTTAACAGTTCAGATCCAGATTCACTTGTTCGTGGTAATGTAGTTAGAAATAGCCGACTTAGGTTTTCGGCCGAATCACAGCAGCCTCAAATACCGAATAAAGATGGTATGTCGAAAATTGTTGTCGATACGAACATGTATGAAGAAAAATATAACATTTCCGGCTCACGACCGTTTTTGGCAGGTCATTCTCGAGCAGCATCAGCTGATATAAGCTCCAATTCAAATTCCTTAAATTCAACCTCTATAACCACTCACAACAATCTGCAACAAGTGATGACATCGAAAATGAGTCAACACATACGTAACAATTCTGTTGATAATTCACTTGTCACTTCCGTATTTTCCACTCCTGGTTTGTCTGTTAAACAATCAAGTACACTGTCTACCAATAATAATCAGCCACAACCAAACAAACCTGCTGTCCCTCTTAAACCAGCAGGGATAGTTTCAGTCTTTGTTCCAGGATCGAATACAACAGCTGCAGGAACAACGTCATCAACTACGAATACCTGTAAAAAAGTTGGAATATCAAACATTTATGGAAAAGTGATGACCACCACTCCTGCTATTCCAGCAAAAGCAGACAATTCAGACGTTGCTCGATATCCAAATGAAATGTCCGTACAATTACAACAAATGAGTGAAAGCAGCGTTAATCATCCCGTACCACCACCTCGGAAGGTAAAATTTTAACAATCGTTTGGAATATTGATTCTGATTTCTTTTTCAGAAAATTCACGATTCTCATGGAACACCTGGAAAATTCCGTCGATGCTTAGCTCTTTACGATTGTGATGCGGATCAATCTGATGAGATTTCATTTAAATCTGGAGAAATAATCACAGTCATCAACGAAGTGACCAATGACGATGACTGGATGGAAGGAATGATTGAAGGCGATCCTTCCAGGCGTGGATTATTTCCAGCCATTTTTGTTCAATTCATTGAATAATAATGCAGTCCTCGATCATCGTATACCAAAAAGACCGTCATCCTGTTATTTAATGATTATATTTGTTTAATTCCTACTAATGTTATTTTCTAGTCACTTTTGAATTTTTTTCAAATAATTAGAATTTGTCAATTTATTGCTTTGCTATATCTTAAAATTTTCATCTTGGGTTCAAATCACTGACGCATTTATAAACAAACTCATCAATTGAAAATGATTTTTTTTTTGAATTTATTAAAATTTGATTTTTGTGGTAAATAAATTTATGCGGATAATTTGAATTAACCAACACATCAAATTTTTGAATTTTTAAAAAATGCGGTATAGAATGCATCCTCTTCATAGAGAACGTATTCGCGCGTTTGAGGCATGTTGTTGTTGATTTCTGGAGTGTTTTCAATTTCATTTATATTTATCTAATTTTGAAAATAAAAATGAAACGTAATTTTGAATCCATGCCGGTAGCGATCTTTGAAAAAAGATCAAGAAAAGAATTGTCAGTCATCGATAACGAACCTGGAAATGGACAACTTATATCTGTAAGCATATTCAATTGAAATTATTGATTTAAATTCTATAACCGGCATACTTCATTAATTAGACCGTGAATCGAACTTCTAAACTTGAATCACCTATCATGTTATTGACTGGACACGAATCCGAAATAAACACTTGTAAATTCCACCCTAATGGCGAAACAATTTTATCTGCTGGTTTTGATCGAAACATATGTAAGTGTTTAATAATTTGTTCATTCCTTTCGTATATTATTACCATTCTATGATTGATAGTTTTATGGAATACATACGGTGAATGTAAAAACTATGCTTTACTGTCTGGCGGGCATAAAGGAGCCGTTTTGGATGCTCATTTTTCGGGTGCCGGCGATTATATTTATTCAACTTCGACTGATAAAAATTTGATTATTTGGGATTCAAAAACTGGAGCTCGAATGAAAAAACTCACTGGACATCAGAGTATTGTCAACGCTTGTTGCCCTTGTCGTGACCAATCCAAAGCATTGCTATGTAGTGTTTCGGATGATAAAACAATTAGGATATGGGATACCAGAAAACGACAAGTTTCATCCGTCCTCAAGGAAGAATATCAATTAACCGCTTGTACTTTCAACGATTCAGCTGATCAAATTATTGTTGGAGGCATCGAAAATTTAATTAAAGTGTACGATCTCCGTAAAAATAAACTATTGTATTCAATGTCTGGACATTTTGACACCATCACTGGTTTGTCTCTTAGTCCGAACGGAAATTTCGTTCTTTCGAATTCGATGGATAATTCACGTAAGTGTCTTTTTATATCCTTTGATATTACATTCAATTCATTTGAACTTGGATCGTTTTTTTCACAGTATGCATCTGGGATATTCGTCCATTTGTACAATCGGATCGTTGCTCGAAAACATTGACTGGACATCAACATAATTTCGAAAAAAACCTTTTACGTTGTTCATGGTCACCCAACGGAGATCGTGTAACAGCCGGTTCGGCCGATCGGAATGTTTATATTTGGAATGCTTATGACAAACGAATCATATATAAATTACCGGGCCATAATGGTTCAGTCAACGAAGTTGTTTTCCATCCAAACGAACCTATTAGTAAGTTATATTAAATGAATTTTTTTTTGCTTATTTTTAATCAAATTAAATTTTTATGACACAGTTTTATCATGTTCAAGCGATCGACAATTGTTTCTTGGTGAAATTGATCCATAATCATATTTCCTCATAATGGAATATTTTATCTTATTTTCATTCTTTTGTTTAAATATAATTGATGACACAACCATAATAAAAAATGTATTCATGATTAAATTCTTTTGGTTTTAAGACGCATGCGTTATTTTTGTTCTGTATTGTTTAGGAGACATTTTATCATTTATTTGTTCTCACATTGAAATTGACATATTGATACATTGAATGAATGTGATCGATTATTATTATGTAAACAAAAGATGCGTCCATTAAAATTATGGTCAATCTATCAATTCATTTGTAGATATGGTCTTTATCGAATAATCAAAGAAAATAATGTCATTCTATATCTAACTGTTATATTCATCATCATCATTTTTTGGTACATAACTGGCTGCCTCATCACTTTTTTATTGTTATTTTCTTGTTTTATCTGTAAGTTTTGTTGAAACGATGCTTATCAATTCACTTATCGATTACATGATATAGATTATATTTACAATCTATGTGATAGATTATTGTATAGTCCACACAATCCCGAGGATAGCCGTGTCAATGTTCCAACGCCTAAATCTTATGGTCTTGATTATGACAACTTATTCATTAATGCTCAGGATGGGACGAAAATTCACATGCAATTCATTAAACAGCCAGTGACTGCTAGTAATTGTGCTACATTGATTTATTTACACGGAAATGCTGGTAATATTGGCCACCGGTTAATCAACGCAATCGAATTTTATAAACAATTTCAGTGTAACCTTTTGATGGTTGAATACCGTGGCTATGGCCTTTCCGAAGGCCAACCTTCTGAAAGTGGCCTTTATCAAGATGCGTTAGCCGCGATTCAATTTCTAAATAGTTGTAGACAAGTTGATTCTTCAAAAATTGTTCTATTCGGTCGTTCATTAGGAGCTGCTGTAGCGATTGGTTTAGCAGATCAAATCAATAACGATTCTCGAATTGCTCATCTTCGGCCTATGGCCATGGTGATCGAAAATACTTTTACCAGCGTGCCTGATATTTCTCGCCATTTATTTGCCCATCATACACATAATAGTCCATTGTGGTTCACCCGTTTTCTTCAATTCGTACCGGATTGGTTTTACAAAAGTCGTTTCAATTCCATTGACAAGATTTCGCGAATAACTGTACCGACTATTTTCATCTCTGGACTATCGGACGAATTGATTCCACCGAAGATGATGATACAATTATTTAAAGTTAGTTTTAATTCAATTTTTGTAACTGATTGAAAAAAAAATTTACTTTTATTTTAGAACTCTCCAGCCGTTTATAAAGAATTGCACACATTTGAATCTGGAACGCACAACTTCACTTGGAAATGTCCTACTTATTACGAAACGATTGGCAATTTTTTAAAAATTGTCCACGAGAATAAACCCATGATGATGTCAAGCGGAAGCAATATTAATGAAACTGCCACCGATACTTCTTGTCTGGATTATCAATGCATTGATTTAGAAGAAATCGAAAAAATGCCTTTGATTGCTTCTCAAAAGCAAGATAAAAATGATGATGATTCTTCTCATAATACGTCTAATTTAAATGTAATTTAGATTTAGAATTCTAAGAAAAATAGTTTTTGTTTTATTTAATTCACAAACCGTTTATTGTCGTTTGACCGTACTATTCAAAAGATAGCGCCACTAGCAACAACTTGTGGAATGCAAAAAAAATCAGGATACAATGTCGACATCTAGTGTTTAATAAAACTTATAATTTTTAAATTTGATTAGAAATTGATTTTCATCATTCAATGAAAAATTTTAATTTAAAATTTAATGGGAATCAAGATTGAAATTTTTTGAGCTTTTGTGCTTTATTTAAATTCCTTTTTTTTTCGTAATTTTTCCACCAATTACGCAACAATTTAACGGTCACTCTTGTCCTACAAATACAAAATCAAAGTGATTAGAAATGTTTTTTTTTACATTTGAATTATAAATGAAATTTTTTTTTTTTTTTTGAGACGAAATCTTATTGCAAAGTGCTGAAATCATTTTATTCATTTATATATATATGAATTGCGTTATCATCATCATCATCATAAATCATAAAACATTGTTCAAGATAATGATAGAGAGCAAGAATATCTAGATGTCAAATTACAATTAAAATGATAATTGGAATGATTCAAGTTCTGGACATTAATATGTGTGTGTGTGTATATGAATGAGTGTGATTGATAGATTATTAATGGTACATCTAATAGTAAAAACATTTATTCAGACGATTGATATTGGTAATGATGCACAATATAAAAGATGTATCATGGTTTTAGTTTTTGCATTATTTTTTTTTTTTTTTGTTCATATTCGAATTATTTTCAAAGTTTCAATTCAGCCTTAAATTTATTTGACCATTATGATTGAAACTTACAAAAAAAAGAGAATATCGTCATGAAAATTGCATTCATCGTGAATACGAATTGATAAGTATGTATTAATGATTAAGGATAAGACGAAGATAAATATAGGGACAGAGCAAGAGCTCAACAATTGTGCAAATTGCAACATTCTAAAAGTGAAAATTCAGACCTAAAAGTAAAATAAATGGTAAGTGATATCATGTGTCAACTATGCAACATTATGATCATCAAAATCATGAATCAATACATCTATATAAGTGTTTGCGTTTTTTTGTTGTTGTTTGTTGTAAAAGTGTACTTTTTGGACATGTTGGAATCACAATTTATCTTGAAAAGGTGAGTTATCTGAGATTGCCATTTGTAAGAATCTAAAGAACTTGGTAGTTGGTTTAAATCAGATAAAAGATCGAAGATCAATATTCAAGATGTTGAATATTATTTACAAATGATGAATTGATACAGAATTCATTGATGTATCGATTTGTTGTCATTTTGTTTGTATTTCCAAAATAGAGGACTAGTGTATGCGTGTGTGTGTGTGTGTAAAATATACAAAATATAATCAAAATTGAATATTAAGTAAAGATTCGGTAATTTTAATCTAATTATCATATATTATTAATCAAATAGAATAACGGGACAACTTGCATTGAATGTCAACGTTTTCAAAATGATCAATAAGAAGAATTGTGTGTGTGTGTGTGTGTGAATAATGCTGATACTATAGTAATGATATAATAATTTAATAAATAATTAAAAAATAGAAAAAACAGGACATTCATATTTTACTTGGGTGTAAATTGTGTGTGTGTGTATGTGTTAAAAAAAATTGTGGAAATAATAATTTTCAGGTAATAAGGATATGTTATTGATCAAGTTATTTTGATATATTTGAGTGATGTGTGTGTGTGTGTATTGTATAAGTGAATTGAAAAATTATTTTTTGGTTCATAATGTATAGTTTCAAAAGTCAAATGAGGGGAATGTATTCAGTGAATGATTTTTATCAATTTGTGATGACAATTATTTTTCAAATACACAATCACTTTTTTTGCTATTTGTTACAAAATAGATAATGAAATAAAGCTTAGTATTAATGAGAATGAAAACAATTTTTTTTTTTTTGGTGGACAACAATGTACGATGACAGTATTTGGTATTTGTGATGATGATTAGTGCAAAACCCTGTTTGGTGAAAAAAAATTAAAATCAGCAGCGCTGATCGTGCAAATATCAGAGTGAAACAATAAGTGGATTCGGAAGGAATTAAAATCTGAATAGAAAGCAACGATTCTATCATTGATGTCATTGAATGAATTGTAGATGCAAACAATCTGCAACGATCATGACAGCAGCATTATCATGTATTTGTCATCATTAAAATCAATGAGCATTGATCAAACGTTCGATATTCAATGCAGATGAATTATGAATTGATGCATTAGAAAGTGATGGACTTGTACCAGATGCATTAGAGGCAGCCGATGATGTTACAACTGCCGAATTCGTTGACAGATTCATGGTTAAGGTATTCATACCCGATGTTCGTTTAAATTTAGCCCGTCGATTCTTGAACCAGAATTGAATGTTTTTTGGCTCAAGTTTTGGGAATTTTTGTCTATAAGGCATTTTATTCAATTCGTCTGTGTATCGTACGATTTGACTATGAGCTGGATGTGTATTGCTCATGAACCAGCTTTCTAGTCTGGGAACCTATTCAGAGAATATTTTTAACATTAAAGACAAAAATGATAAAAATAGATAAATAACAATCATACCTCAGACATTGGATCAATGAAAGTACGACTTCTTCGAGTTCTACGCCCTTCAGGACTTTCTGGATTATGTGATGAATTGCCGCTATTGTTATTGTGATTGAGGGCTGAAAACGAACTGGCTAAACTATGCGATGTCATTGAATTATTATGTCCACAATTATTATTATTGTGTGTCGCTTCAGTATCATCATCGCTTTCGTCGTCGATTGAATTACAGTCACTACCGTTACCGCTTACAGCACTACCACCATATTCGCGAGGTTCTATTTTAAGTTGTACATCCGGTTCTAGTCGTAAATCACTAATGTCGTTCAAATCATGGCGTTTTAGGTCGTCGACAAATTTGAAATCATCACAATCATCACCATCATCAGGCATTTTATCTTCTAATGGTTGATGGGGACTATCGGACAATTTTGTTGACATGCATAATGGATTACGAATGGACAAATCAAGTGTCTGAGTCTCTTCATGTGAATCATTATCTTCATCAAAGCTATAATAATCATCGAGATTGGAGCCGTTTCGAGATGTATTTGACATGGGCTCGTCATTACATTTACCACTAACGCTTGCATCTGAACTGGCTTTACCTGGGCTGTGATTACCACCATTGAGAAAAAATTCTGTAGCCAATGCATTTGCAAACGAATGATTGCTTAAATTCGAATCATTTGAAACAAATTTTAATTCGGCTCTTTTATGGGCAGCACGGGCATTCTTGAACCAATACACCACATTGTTCATATCCAATGGTTTTCGACCTTTTCGAGATTCCAGCGAATTAAGCTCGTTTACGTATTCTTGTACTTGAATACGAGAAGGATGACGATTCTCTGCAAACCATTTATGCAATTTGGGAAGTTCCAATTCGGGATCAAATGAAGTACGGATTCGTGTTCGAGAGCTGGTGCCCGATGAATGGTGATGGCCTGATTGGGAATTTTGATTTCCAGAACTATTCTTGCTATGTCCAAAGGGTTTATCCTGGCTAGAACAGCTATTGCCACTAGGACCACCGATATTTCCATTTACGGTTGAGGGACGAACTCCAGCAGTGGCAGCTGCTGCAGCTGCAGCGGCCAGCGAAGGATGTAGACCAGCAGCGGCCGCTGCCGCTAATGTTGTATCATTTCCATTGGCTAGATTATTTATGTCCATAAATAATGGATGATTAGCAGCAGCAGTTGACGCAGCTCCTGGAGAAGGATTTCCAGATCGTAATCCAGATACCGAGACTGAATGCTGTTGAGCTGCCAATGCAAATTGTCGATACTGGTTAAATACTTGTTGCAGATACCATTGATCGAATCGGCGGCGAGCATCTTCATTTAATTCTTGCTGTTGTTGTTGTTGTTGATCACGCCCTCTTATCAATGAAGATAGTATTTGCTATTTTATGCAATGATAAAAAAGAATGAAAAAATGACGAAATTAGTAAAAATTCACAAGAAAATATTTTTAAAAATGGAAAAATTTCATTTATACACAGAATAATAAAAGAACAAACAAAGCTTGTGTCAAGGGCAACAAAGTTTGTGAAATATGCAAATTATTTTGAACATTTCTACAATATAATTTGATTGCTTTAAATTTCAAGATTATAAAATCAGATTTATGATCATCGATCGAACAAAAAAGGTTGAATACATTTACAAGTTCATCATTAACAATATCCGATTCCATCGCACTGAAGGTAATGAAGATTGACAAATATGATATTTTTAACAAGAAGAGATTGATTGCTCAAATTCGTTTGAACTAATAGTTAAAAAAAATGTCGAAATGATGATTGTTCGTTGTATGAGAAAAATATGAGCAAACACAATTGGCTCCAATATATATGCACATGGATACGGATAAATCAATGTTTGTTTAATATTTTCAGGCCATGATGATGATGGTTATTATCATCATCATCATAACAAAGTAATAAAATAAAATGAAAATAGACTTCGATGTTGAATTAAGTGAGTGTGAATATTGTGATCATCCAGAAACAAAAATGATCTATATGAGGAAATTTTCATTTTATTTATATCAAACAAATCTTAACAAAAAAAAAATTCAAGTTGTAAACATTACAAAAAACGACACAGGTGACAAGAACATTTTTTTTTTTTTTTTTTAAAAAGCTTAGCTTGTGAGATTAGCATTACTATTCGTTTGTCTATTTGTATATCGTATATTATGCAGATGATAAAATGCAAGGTTTACATACAAAGCAAGGTGTGAAGATAATTTGAAAGCACATGTACACACACACACACACACACACACACACACACACACACACACACACACACACACACACACACACACACACACACACACACACACACATACATACAAACATACTACCGACCATGACCACTGTGATCATGGAATTGTAAAATCAATTCGAATCGATCAGGAATTTTTTTTTTTTTTTTGCATGAAGAAAAAAAGAAGACATGATTGCATTGCAATTGCATTCGAGGTCGAAAAGATAACGAACGATAATGAACATCATTGTAGAACACAAACATACATACACACACACACACACACAATGAGATTATATCGCGCGACCTGTATTTGTCTATTTATTGACTTGTTTGAATTTTTTCTTTTTTTATTATTATTATTTCATTTTATGGATCGGCTCGAATTGAAGAGTCAAGGTAAATGAAAAAAAAAGATGGGAAGAAAAAAAAATTTTCACTTTTCATTCGATTGAATAGCAATTGTCTTTTGTAAACAAAAAAAAAAAAAATATATTATACGTGTATATACCAATCATGTAATTAAAATTTATTATTGAAAAAATATTTCTGTGAAAAATTTTCCTTTCCCATTGTTAGAAGAACGAACACATCATCATCGGATATATAAGATTTCTGGTGGTGCGCTTTGCCTTTTGGTTTGAATCACACAATAACAACGAATGAAAAAAGGCAAACATTAATATGAGATTATAAAGATGATGAGTTATGATTATCATTCAAACACACACACACACACACAAATAAATAAATGAAGCAACCATTTAGAGAGAATCGGGAATCATATGTAATAAATATAAGAAAAAAAAAGAGTTAATCACAATCCTATTAGGTTTTTTCTGTGCTTCAATACATGAAAACAAAAATCATAATTACGTTCATCATAATAAGAAAAAAAACGACAAGGTTTTATCCATCATCAAGAAAACCAAGTACTATAAAGCTATATGGCTTTGAGCCAAATAACTGCCCGAAACAACAAATAAGAAAGACCGGATTTGTGTGTTTGAATGCATTTTTGTTGTTGTTGTTGTTGTTGTTATCGTTAATTGTACGATAGTGTAGTTTAAAACCAAATTCAAGACAAATAAGCGAGTAGAAGAACATTAAATTTTCAAGTTTTTTTTTGCCAAAGATTTTGTTCAATAAGGTATTAGACTACAGCCAATGATTATGATGAAAAACAACATAAGCCCAATGAGTGAATCCATTCATCCATCCCATCATCATAAAAATAGAAATCATAAAAAACCCAATTTCATTCACCAACAAAGACTTTCACTATCACAGTAAACAAGAGATTCAAGGCAACCGTTTTACTTTTTTTTTTTTTTTCATTCTCAATATGTATAAGCAAAAAGAGAGAGAGAACTGAAAAAAAATCCGCAGAATTTGCAATTTGGTTTGGTTTTAACTTTGATTAAAATGATTAATATTTGATCAATATCTAGTATTTTGTTATGTACATTGTTTCAAATAAATTTGAAGCAAAATGTTTCGAACATGGAAACAACAATCAGAAATGAGACTCCGAGATAGATCATAGAAACCAGAAAAAACAATATTCGAATTCAAAATTGAATTTTTTTTTCTTTTTTTTTGGAAAAAAAGATGCTTTTTTTCTAATAACAATAATGGAATTGATTTCTGATTTAAGATGATGATATTGTTTTTTGTGTGATCATCCACATGGAAAGGCTGAAAAGTCATGTACTACAATGATGATGATGGTGATGAGAACAAACAAATCGACAAAGGTGTGAGAATATATATTTTTTTTTTTTTTTTTTTTGTAAAGAGAAAAATTGAAAAAAAAAACAAAATCAAAACAAACCTAAACACACACAATATTCGAATATAATAATTTTGTTGAAAGCAAATCGTTTTTCATTCAATCACACATCTTTTTGAAATTAAAGTGTTTTGAAAAATGGTTCGTGATTTTTCGATCAGAAGAGAAATGAAGGGAGATGGAGAAGGAGAGAGAAAGAACAATAGATTTATGGTGAAACGAATGATTTATTGATTTCGATCAATCGGATTGAAATTTCAATATTTCTAATTGAAAAAATATTATTTGTTAGTTTTGAAAAAAAACATTCTTTTATATGGAAAATCGGGATTTCCTAATTAAAATCTCGAATGATGATAAAAATAATAATAATAATAATAATGATGTCATCACACAGTGTTCATCAAAAAGGGCTCATCATTTTGCATTTTGCCCGCCAGTACTCTGTGTGTGTGTGTGTGTAAAAGATTCATTGAACGGAACATATTATTGGTAATAATAATATTTTTGTTGTTGTTGTTGTTTCCATCTTTATCATTCCAGTTATTATTGTTATTATTATTATTATCGATAATAAGCAGGATTCTCTATGATGGTCGTGTGTCTATTTTGAGCAGAGAAAAATCATCATCATCATCATCATCATAATCAATTGTTTGTGAAAGAAAATGTAAAGAGACAAACGACAAATGTTCCAACTAATTTATTGACAAATTTTGAACATTTGGATCGATCATCAATGAAAAAAATTGCAGAAAACGGGGTCTTGTCAATTTTTCTGAATTTTCGGTTTAATTAGAAATCCTGGAATCAATCGGAAAAAACGGAATAGAATGCTTGAACTTGAATCTAGTGAAAAAAAACATCATCATGATAATGATGGAGAACATCATCATCATCATCATCATCATTATCATCATTTAGCGGGCAATGATTATAGCAAATAAAATAAAAATTGAATGATTCTTGTGAAAAGCATATTGTTTGTTAGTTGTTTAGCATTTGAAAATGAGTATAATGATTGGAATTGACAAAAATAGAATGAAAACAACATTATGATCAACATTAAATATAATAGACGGAAAATTTTTATTAAAAAAAAATAGACCGAATAAGAGATAAGTGAATTTTCAATGAAAACTAAAATCAAAAAAACAAGATAAAATATGAAATCTACAGGTGTTTGCACACATACAAATCGGATATATTTCGAATAATCTTTATTCCTTTCACTTGTAAAAAGAAAAAATAAAAATAAATCATAATGAATGACGAAATATGTACAAATAAAATTCATTTTTGATAACACTCATTGGATAAACTACTGCTTGCAAAAAAAAATCTTGATGATGATGATTATTGATCAGATTGATTGAAAGTTTTAAAGATGTGAGAATTGTTGTTTACTTTTTATTTTTTTTATATACATATTCGAATCGATGTGCGAAAAAAACACACACACACACATAGTTAAACAAAAAAGAGAGACTAAAGAAGAATAAAAAAAAATTTACCGCCAAAGTATTTACGAGAGAATTGATATTATCGTTTTGTTCAATCTTTCAGATTTTAGAAGATAAACGTTTTGATTATCAATAACCAAAAAAAAAACACATAGAAAAAAATGTTGGATCATTGCTGCTGCTGCTGCTGCTCATCATTATCATTTTAGAATTTCTCGAATAATAATAATAATAATGATAATATGATTGCTAATAAAAAAAAAATGAATGTTTTGAAGAGAGCAAGCAAGAGAACGATTTTTTTTCCTCTATCCCTTATTACTATATACTCTTATGATGATGATGATTATGAAGATATTGAATGTGGCTTCCTTCGAACCAAAAAAGCCATGTGAATTTTTTTTTTCTTTTTTTGTTGTTGAAAAGTATATGTTGATGGCGATCAAAAAGCAAACAAATTTATCTGATTTTGTTTTTTTACCATCATCATAATAATCATCGCCATAGAATTGCCGCCATCAATGATGATCATTTTTTTTGTTGTTGTTGTCGTCATCATCATCATCATCATCATCAACATCGCATCATAGCATCGATCGATTGAGGACGACCGACAGAAAAAGAAATTATTATATCCGAATTATCATACCGACAGAGTCATACAAAAAAAACACACACACACACATGTGTGAGAGGATAAAAAAGAATGTAATGAAAATGTACATTACACATAATGCTATGGTCAATTTATATAATTTTTTTCTCTCGTTTTTTTTGGTGTGAAAATGATGATGAAAAGATTAGAATAATCTAGATATAATTAATATTTAGTAAAAGCAAACACAAAAAGGCAAATGATGGTGGGAACTGCTAGATTCTATATATATATATATGTTCATTATATTCATTGCATTTTTTTTTATTCAATCTGGCTTGACTAGTCATGATTAATTCTTGTGATAAAGTTTTAATCAACAATTTTTTTCCATTTAAATAGATTAAGAAAGACAATGAGAAAAAAAAGTGAAAAAAAAATTAAAAATCATTCACTTACCTGATCGATGGAAGATCCGGAATTATTGGTGGTCAGCAAATTGTAAGAATGTGCTAGTAGCACTTGAAGAAGTTTATCCTTAAGCTCGTGTGCAGCACTCATTCGTGGCCTACAAAAATTAAAGCAATTAAACAATTACATCGTATATATCGACACAAAATTTAATTGTTGAGGGTGTATGGTTTATATCGATTCATATTATTGAAATAGTGTAAGAAAAATCATTAAGAAAAACCATATGTCAACGATTTGTTCATTATGACATCACGAGCAGTTTTGGTATGAAGTAACTAATATCAAATTTGCGAAATAACGGATATTATAGAAATTGATAAACTATATATATTGTTCTATTTAATAGTCTGCTAATGATTCCATTATAAACAAAGATTCGTGATAATAGAAATGACAGTAAATTGAAAATTTTTTTTATCTTTAAAGAGGCTGTTAGTAGTTAATCTTCAATCAATTACTGTCAATTATTGTGGTGCTTTGTGGCCCATTACAAATCTAACACTCAATCGATGCTAATAGCGGACAAGCACAATAGGTCAAATTATTATGGAGAATTTTATATTTTCATTTAGAATGACAGCATAAATTAATTGGCCTAATTATCAATTAATTGTTAATTTATGCACAATTAAGCAATGGATGGCTGCTATGAATGCTATATGTTATGTGATAATGGTTATTAATACTACTACCACCACTATGGAACTGTTTGATGAAAAGAAGCTAGAATTCCGTGTCAAAATAAGGCCATAGCTTTTTTTTTTTTTGGTAATTTTGGTGCGTGCGACCGATAATCGTCGACTCGTTTCGCATGGGTGACGATAGATACAACCTTTTCTTAATTAACTCATCATCAAGCATTTTACCAAAAATTCATTTGAGGGAGAATAAAAAAAAAGAATAAAACCAAAAAGACACGTACCTAAATAGACGAATTCGTAATGTGATGAATGAACAGATATCACCGAATAGATCGCCAATCGTGATTTCGTTGTTGGCCAGATCGCTTATTTGATCCAATGTTAATGGTTTCCAATTACGAAGTTGTATGAAAGCTGAAGGATCGTAAAGAAGAGAGAAAAAAAGGATGTGAATGATGAGTGTTTAAAATGATTATCCAATCGATTTAATTGTGGTTGTAATCATAAACAATGAAAGTGATGGTTTCATTATATAATAATAATAATAATATAACTTAATTATCGATGCGATATTTGGATAACATTCGTTTACATATAATCGATCGATCATTAGCTAACTGGCAAGGTTTAGATCATCATTATAAACAACAATGACATTGATGTGATGCAATTTTAGCGTGATGTCAATCATAGAAACACTGTTGGTCATCACGTTGAAACGAGCAATAAATATGCAATTGTGGATTTACTAACTAACTAACCTGGAATAATGATGATGATGTCTAGATTGATAGAAAACTCATTTAACAATAAAATAGAACACGAGCAATGATTGAATCGACAATGGGCAGAACATTCGAAATGGCGAATATCCACACAGAGTAAATGGAATGAAAGATTGACTTGGATATTTGCGCGCTTTTTACATTCAAACAGACATGTATTGAATCTCGATCGAGAAGTTGGAAAAAAAGTATTTAAATCAACCTCAAAACTTTAGCCTGTATGCTGCTAATGCATTTTTTTTGTCTTTCCTATGCCATCCATGTTAAATTTGGAAAAAAGGCGGGCAGGTAAGGTATCAGATGATGATGATGATGATGATGAGACATAAAAATGAGAGAGAGAAAAAGACAGGAGTTAGCATCATTCGTATAGCTTTCCTTTCTAAATTCGCTTCGTCGCCGATGGTATAGCCACATCAACTCAAGTTGAATCGATACACACGCAAATACGAGAAAAAAAACAACTTTACAACCAGCCTTCTTGTTGTGGCTGTAGTATGAATGAATGAATGAATGAATGAATGAAATGAGATGAGATGAGATGAGATGCTAAAGCCAAGAAAAACGAAACAGGAAACATTTTATGTTTTAGGGCAATGTAATGTAAAAAACCATTGGATGCTCTTTCTCTTCATTCATTCATTTCGTTTGGCTCATTCTTTATCGATCACACATACACATAAAGACATATACACATTTAGTAGAAGAAGGCACACCTCTTCATCCATGTCTATGCGTATACAATAATCATTATCATCACCACAGCCACAGCCTCTCATTCTCTCTCTCTCACAGTCAAACACAAACACCAGAAATAAAAATGATCGTTTTAGACGCCGGGCGCCATACAAAAGCAAAATAAATGTAGGTGTGCATGTGTGTGTGTGAAAGAGCATCAAGTGTAATATCAGCTTCAAACAACACCCATAAAGATCCTGGCATTATAAAAGCATTTGGTTACAGGGTTTTAGGTGTGTGTGTGTGTATATGTGTTTGTTTTCGTTTTTTATATCATTTCAAATCTGATCGATATACAACAACATTACATGCATATTTGGATCGTATTTAGGAATGGAAAAGAAAATAGAAAAATTCAACACCAAAAAGAAAAAAAATGTCTGATTTTGACGAATAAACAAATAAACAAATGGTGGCCACCAAGTGCCACTTTTGACACACTGTGTGTGATGAAAGTGAAAACACACACACACACACACACACAACAAAAACGGATATTTTTCTGCTAATTTGGCATATTCTCGATTCGCATTATGTCAATAATAATAATAATAAAGGGACAAATCGACAACGGAAAAAAAGGCCAATGGAAATAAAAGGTGAAAAATATGTATAGCATCATCGAACAATCAATTAGATGGTGAATAGCATAAAAAGTCATATATACACACACATAAACACACGGGTAGCATTTGGTCGTCATTGAGCAATCGAACAAAACAAAACGACAAACAAAAAAAAAACCACAACAACAGAAAAACAAACGACGCCATTTAATTTCATCAAATGGTTTGCATAATGAAAGAAAAAAAAATACATGAATGTTCCAACAACAAATGTATGTCCTTTTCTCTCTCTCTCTCACTCTCATTTGGTTGGTAAAAAAAAAAACGAACAATACAACACCACAAACATATACCAAAAACAAATCTTGATCAAGTTTTCGGTATGGTTTATGGTCAATGGAAACGCTTGGTAAGTATGTGTAACTATGTGTGAATTGAAAAAAAAAAAAAAATTGAAATTGTTCCAACATATCACATTGTCACAATAATAATTTTTTTTTATATTGGCATCAATGTATTATTATTGTTATATCATATTCAGCCATTTGTATGTTTGCATGTTTGTGTGTGTGTGTGTGTGTGATAGCATATCAAACATCATTTAAAGATCAATATGGCTACAACAACAACAACAAAAAAAAAATTTGATTCATTGGTCTAAATTCATTGAATGAATGAATAACTAAAAAGGTCATTTTGTTCATTAACACAATTTTTATTTAGACTGCTGTTGTTGTTGATGATGAGGTTAAATTAAATTATCATCAAATGATGATGATGATGATGATGATGAAATTCATTCATTTATTCAATCGGTTAAAAATGGAAATAAATTTACAATAATAACAAAAAATAAAAATAAAAATTATTGTCACATTAATTGTCACACACATAGGACATAGATTTAAGTGAAAGTTGTTGATTTGATTTGATTTTTTTTTATTCAAGAGAATAGCTTATTTTTTTTTGTTTTGTTATTGTTGTTGTTGAGCTAGTGATTCTGTATGGCTTTTTTTATGCAATTGTTGTTTCAATTGTGGTCGGTATTGTGTGTGTGTGTATATATGGATGTATTTATTATTTGCCAGACAAGTATATGAAGTCATACAACTATCAATTTGTTGCTCATTGATTTTCAACCAAACAATGTATTACATTGTTGCCATAGGATTTGATAGTAAAAAAAAAAATTTGGGGGAAAAAAATGTCATAAATAAATGATTCAGAATAGTCTATTGAATCAAAATGAAAAAAAAATGAACGATCCGCATCAATTGCAAACAGGCAAGCATCGGCCATCAAATGAAAAAAAAAACCGAAACGAAACGAAATCAAACACTGAATAAAACATAAATGAATTTAGTCATTACAATTGAATGAATGGCTGAATAATCCTATCTGTCCATTATTATTTTCATGTCCTTTGTTTTGTCTATTCAAACCATTAATAGGAGAATGATAATTGTAAAAAAGAGAGATTGATGGAAAATGACAAAACAAAAATTTTCCTCGATTGACAATCAAAACAAAACAAAACAAAACAAAAAATTGTGTTTTTTGTTATTTTCCCTTGTTCAACTGAAATATATGAATGAAATAAACCAAAGTGTGTGTGTGTGTGTAGTGACGGAATATTAGCTTGGATTTTTGTTTTCTTCTGTCTACTATTTTTTTTTTTTTTTAGTGGCCAAACATTCATTCGCTATTCCGGATCATTCGCCATTAATCATTGTGATATTGACCCGAGAATGACAATAGTAACATGTCGTAAAGTTTGGATTGTCTTGAGTGTCGAAAACTTGTGGCTTTTTCATTTTATTTTATATATGTTCGAATCCTACAGTAGACAATGTAAATATCATTCTTATCATTTTATATATACAACAAAGATAGAGATCAAGTGTGCAATAAATGATTTCGGTTATATGTTTCCAAAATGGTTTTCATAGATTACAATCACATTTAGTTAGGGAAAAAGAGAAAAAAAACATCAAAAAAAAACTCATTGCCAATGTCCGGCAGGATATGCACGAGCCATCATCATCATCATCATCATATCGCGCGTATCAGCAGTGTGGGTGACCCGAATAAATGACCGATTCATTCATTGGGAAAATATCAATCATAATTGTCTCGTTTGATCATAAGATTGTAATTGAAAAAAATATTACCAAGATGACGATTGACGACAAATCGATCGATCGATCGAATGAACAGGATTTCGAGTTAATTTACTTTGATAATAATGGTTAGTGTTCGATGGCCATACATCTTTCAATTTCAATTTTTTTGTTTCTTTTTGGTTTTTTTCATAAACGTTAACAGCATTTGTCAATCAGATCAAAAACTTTTTTTTTGTTTCGAGAAAAAAAAATCACACAGATTGATCATCATCGTTGTCGGATAGCAAGAAATGGACAATAAAAAAAAAATATATTAGACATGTGCATGTTTATAAATGCCAACAAGATATTAGTAGATGGTTTTTACAATCTCTCTCCCATTCTCTTTTTTTTCAATTCATATAAAATTGTAATTGTAATAATAATAAAATTATAGCCTATAGGCCTACCATTGTCATTTCGATTTACTCTTATCGATATCATTTACTTCCATCCATCCATCCATTTGCCATTGGAATTTGTGAATATTTTTGTTTTCTGATCACATTGAGAAAAAAAAATCTCATCGATTGCGGCAATAACCATAGTTTTTTTTATTTTGTTGATAAATAAAAGATTTTTTTTTCATTTTGACCAAAAATCTATTTATGTGTGTGTGTGTATATTGTACGATCGCAAAGAAATTGATTCATCTTTTTCGTATTCATACGCACGGTTTAATTATGACGACGATCAAAACAATACAATGATTCACGATTGGCAACAACAACAACAGAAAAAAATCAGTCCATTTCAACCAAAATTTTTATATCTATTCATCTATCTATTAAATCTATATATTCAAATGAATAGTGGACATCAGACATCATTGGAAAAAAAATGATGATCAAGAATGAGAACAACAACAAGAAATAGTTTCTTTTTTTTTCTTGGTCGAACAACTAAATGTTATTGTTTAGAATATACTTTTTTTTTTGATTGATAATATTATCAATCCAATAATGGCGATAACAACAAATGAAACGAAACGAAACGAAACAAAAACCAAAAAGAAACAAAAAAAAATGAATAAAATAATGAGATTGTTCTCATCATCATCATCGCTCTGTTGTAGTGAATGAAAATGAAAGATGTAAATGTGGTGGACAAGTCCAATCAAACAAATGTCAAATGATGAAGAAAAAAAGAAACACTATAAATAG